GTAGCGCCCCGAACCTTGAGCCGCGGCCGGAAACCGGCCCGGCGCGGTCGCCGGAGTCCGGGCACCAGCTCCAGCCCAGGACGCGCGAGCCGGGCACGCCATGGCCGGGCCGCGGGGCGCGCTGCTGGCCTGGTGCCGCCGCCAGTGCGAGGGTTACCGCGGCGTGGACATCCGCGACCTGAGCAGCTCCTTCCGGGACGGCCTGGCTTTCTGCGCCATCCTGCACCGGCACCGGCCCGACCTGATGTGAGTGCCCGGGGCGCGCGGGCGGGCGGGGCTGGGGACCGCCGCCCCCCTCAGTGACGCGGTGGCACGTGCCGCCCCATGGGGACCGGACGCCCCCCCCTTTGGCCTGGAACACCGAGCCGGGTCGCCGAGACCCCCGACTCATGCACCCCTCCCCCACCCAGCTGTGCTGACCCCGCCCACGGGACACCGCGCCCACCACTGACCCCCGCCGTGGGGCCCCGACTCCAGGCTCTGACCTCTTGGAGGGAGCACTGTCACCTCTTAAGGACCCTCCTACGCTGTGCTCTCTAGCAGGCACACTGAGCCTCCTTTTATCTATTGGGGCTCAGGACATGGTACCCCCAAATTTGGCTGTGGGAGATCAATACGCCACTCCCCCCAATAGACCTCCTCCGAGATTTGAGGTGGTGGGAGAAACCGCAGACCCGGGATAGCTCTGGAAGGCTTTTTCTTACAGAAATTTACATCTCCAAGGGCTTGAAAGGTACCTGAAAGGGTCTCAGAAAGAATACCGCCCCAGATAACTTAGTACCTGAGAGATCTCTGTGGGGCGTGCCAGCCTCTTTTGCTTCCCTGGCTCCTCTCTCCTCTCCCTCAGAAGCCTAAGCCCCTGTTTCTTCTGTGTATGGGCCTCAGTCATCTGACTCTCCGAGTCCCATATTTTGTGGGACTTCCATGGAGATTTAGGCATTACATAGAGTTTAAATTTTTTCAACTATCCTTCAGATTCTTATGGAAAAGAACCTAGAAGGGTGGAGAGAGGCCACCTCTGTAAGGCATCGAGGGCCGGTACTGTATGGGGTCCCCTGCCCTGTGAGAACGATGAACCATCACTCTGGGGTGCCCAGTGGGCCTCCAAGCCCTGTTCCTGCCATAGAACTACTAGCAGACTGATGGCTGCTAGGTGACTGGGGGTGGTACTAGTCCCCAACACCTCCTCTTCTAGGAATCACACCAGGTGTGTATGCCTCCTGGACTTGCCCTCCATAGTAGGGCACAGAGATGGGACAGGGAAGAGGAACCAGGCAGGGTAGCCCCCCCCCCCCGGAAGACTTTGGTTCAGTTGATAGCCACCAATCTGCACTTCAGACTGGGGAGTGACCCCTTCCCATCTGAACTAACTGGGAAAATATATTCAGACCCACAGAACAGTGGGCATAGGCTTTTAGTTCCGCTTTCTGCCCTGGAACCTCTTCCATCCATCTATTCATCCCACCATAAAACAATGAGTGAAAGTTCATCTGGTGCCTGACATTCCCTTTGCTTCAGGTCTCAGTAGCAGATCAGGAACAAGAGTCTTGGTCCTGACCTGCATTATTTAAAGCCTCCTTGGAGGGCTCCCCTGGTTCACAGAACCTCAAGTCTGTGTGTCTTCACACTTGTGGTACCATAGGACAACATGTGGGAGGGCTCTGAAAGGATCACACCATATGAAGTTGGAGTGTCCAGCTTGAGGGACCCTGGAAGAGAGGGTTTTTGGGGTGTGGATACAGAAAAGAGCCAGGACAGAGGTGGGCTGCTTGCTGAAGAGGCAGGTGAGTGGGGCTTGGTCTTGCACTGGAGGTGCAGGATGCTGGGATTGGACCATGTTTGGGAGCTGAGCTCTAGGGGTCTACCAGTTCTGAGGCAGAAGTTAGGGAATGGGCCTCAAAGGAGGAGACTTGGTGTGACGCTACTGTGTGCTGGACCCCAGGTTCCAAATGCTGGCTGCCTGGTGCTTAGGTTTAAGCCCTGGGAAAAATCATTGGTTCTCTCCAGGCTCCTGGAAGGTTGATTACAAGACCCACCCCACACTTTATGGTAAGGATTTTAAATGAGGTAATAAGTATGCAATTAACACTAGTCACTAGAAGAGGTGCTATTAGGCAGAAGGGTATGGATGACTGTTTAACCCCTTCATCTAGTCAAGCAGTTATAGAGTCACTGCTCTGAGCACTGAGCACATGCACTTGACAATGGAGAAAACAACCAAGGCAAAACATCCTACATACTCTTATACCTGTGGGGGCATCCAGGTGTCTAAACAGCGGCCCTTAATTGGTGGCACCCCAGGGGGAGGAGGCCCACCCAAGCTGAAGGACCACTCAAACAACCAAGAGTCCTTTCTGAAGACTATTCTCTCTGGAAGAAATCCAGTATCCATCCAGGCATCCATTTTCTGGGGAGGCCAGCTGATTGAACATGAGGGAAACTGAGGACCAGGTCCCACAGGAAGCACAGAGAAGCCCAAAGTGATGAGTAGGGATGAGTCTGTTATTTATGTATTTATCTATTTGCTAGAGATTGAACCCATGGCCATACGCATGCTAGGTGAACACTACTACTGAGCTACACCCCCAGCCCTTATGGGTCAGTCTGTTCCAGAGTAGGGGTGGGGTATGGCTAGAGGGTAAAAGCCATCCTCTAAAGTGGTTCAAGCCCAGTGATGGCCCAGGCTTCTGTGGGGGAGGGTTCTGCTGTGGTAGCTAGGAGCTGGACCTTGCCCTTTTCTAGGCTTTTCTAAATTCCCTTGGGGCCAGGGACCATGTGGCATTCATTTCTGTGCCTTCATCTACTCTAGATTCAAATGGAACTTTCCCAAGCCTCTGGGAACTCAGGAAAGATCTGTTACTAAAACCCAGATGTTTAGGGATGGAGATGGGGTGAGAGGAGTTGGAGGAAAAACTAGTATTCTGTGGGTTTTCACAGTTTTTTTGTATGTGTGGGTGTGTGTATTTATGGATATGTGTGTGTGTGTGTGTGTGTGTGTGAAGGCTATACATTACCTCAGTTGCTTGTCCTCGGGAGCTGTCCACCTTGTTTTTTTGAGACAGGATCTCATTGAGACATGGGACTGTCTAGTTAGGCAGGGCTGACTGGCCAGTGAGCCTCAGGGATCTGCCTGCCTCTGCCTCCCAGGTGCCGGGATCAAAGACTTGTTCCATTACTCCTGACCCTACACCTGGCTTTTTACATGGTTGCTAGAGATTGAACTCAGATCCTTGTGCTTGTGTAACAAGCACTTTTACAAGTGAGCTATTGCCCCAGCTCCAATTTCCACAATTTTCCAGTGTTTTCACTGTGTGTTCATCCAGTGTTTATAGAGTACTTCCTACTTCTTAAATACCAGGAATGCATAGGGTCCTAGAGAAACAAAGGGGACAAAATATGACCCCTCCTTCTAGAACACTCCTGAGGAAATGGAATCTAATTGTCCAGACAAGCTGCTTTAGGTCACTGGTCTTGGAACCAGCCTGTGTTGTGGACTGGTGGTCCTGGCCCTTGTTCAGTGTCACAGACCCAGAGATTGAGGTACAGGGAGGTTAAGTAGCTCACTGAAGATCACTCTTAGGCAGTGGCAAATTCAGGGGGAGATAACTATGCTCGTCTGCTGTGTTTAGGAGACCTTTGACATGCATGCCTGGACCTGTTGGCCTTTACTGCCAGCTTGGGAGCAGGGCCCAGGGCTCACCTCCGTTTGGAGATGGGGCAGTGGAAGCTGGTAGAGTTGCTGAATTGTTCCCAGTAGTTAGTCACACAGCCCACCTAGAAGAGCAGGTACCCTACATGAGCGTGCTTCAACCCACTATTCTCTGATGCTTAGGAGGGAAAGTTGTAGGCCTGTGTACTCAGGAGGCTGCTGGGCAGCAGGAGGAGGCAGATACATAAAGTCAACAGGCACCTGACTGTCCCATGCCAGTGCCCTGTGGACAGGTCATGTTGCCGCTCACCTGCCCCACCTTTAGAAGTTGAGAAATTTCTTACTGCTCCCCTAGGGAAGCTGTCCCCAGGAGTGGCCTGCTGGGGACCAGCTGGTTAGTACTAGCAGCTCTACAGTATGTTCCATATCTACTCTGATTACAACTTGTTCTATTCTTGGACCTGTTAAGAAAAACATTCATCCTGGGATTGGTCTGGGTTTGGGTTCAGTGCTTGGTGTGGCTTGTGGAGTCTGACATAGGTGGAAGGGAGACAGAAGTTTGGATTTTCAGAGCTGGGTGGCTTCCCCTCTCCTACCTCCACATCCTTGTGTGTAATGAGTAAAATGAGGTGAGTGCCTGTCAAATGGAGTTGCTGTGAGATGCAGGTTCAGCTGTGCATGGGATAAGGCCAGTGCTTCCCACTCAGGTGCTCTAAATCTCAAGTACTTACCTTGGTTTTGGTCCTCTTTTGCCTCTGACCCAGGAGAAGGCTTCCCAGGGAAGAATTGGGAATTTAGGGAGGGGAGCCACCTGTGACATAGATGTCTGACTTGAGCCCTTCCCTTCCCGGTGATTTCCCAGCCCTTGCTTAGATGTTTCCAAGGCTGTGGCTCACTCTCTGTTCCCACCTGGCAGCCCCAGGTCCACTGGCCACGGCTTGCTACCTCGGTTCCTCTTCAGGAACTTACAGGCCCCCTCCCCAACCTTGCAGAGCTGAGGCTGATTGACCCTGGCCAGGATGAGGTTACCTCTGCCCCCTCCTTTCTGACTGTGCTCCTGCCTGTCACCTCCCATCTTGACCAGTCCTTCTGTCTCTTGCAGAGACTTCAAATCACTCTCCAAGGACAATGTCTTCGAGAATAACCGTTTGGTGAGTCCTCAGACAGATGGAAGGACAAAGAGTTGTGTTGGGGAGGGCAGGGGCCATTGCAGGGGTGATGAGGTACAGGTCCTAGAGGAAGCCATGGCTACGTTACCCTCCACTCTGCTTCCCATAGGTGTTCTTCCCTGGAGCAGCAGATCTACTCCAGGCCACCATATGGGGCTTGTGATAGTACTCCTATACCACTACAGTGAGCTAGGCCCAGGCTGAGGGGTATTCACTAACAGTGCCACCTCTCTGTCCTCCTTCCCTCACTGTGGCTGCTCCTGTTCCCACCCTTGCATCTGTCTCCACTCCAGGCCTTTGAAGTGGCTGAAAAGGAGCTGGGGATCCCTGCCCTCCTGGACCCCAATGACATGGTCTCCATGAGTGTCCCCGACTGCCTCAGCATTATGACCTATGTGTCCCAATACTACAACCACTTCACCGGTCCTGGCCAAGGTGAGAGGGGAACCCAGCCTTCAGGGAGGCTGCCCTGGGGTTGTTTGCTTCTTTTCTGAGCTGCAAAGAAATAGCCAGGGAAGCAGCCCAGAGCTCATTCACTGACTGCCAATTAACTCCTTTGTGTGAATTAAAGCAGCACTGACTGGATGAGGTACTCAAACCTGTAATCTCAGCACTTGGGAGACTGAGGCAGGAGAATGACCTCAAGTTTAAGGCCACCCAGGTCCACAGAATCAGACCCCATCTGCTTTGCCTTGTAGGGGGAGATAGGCCTCAAGCCCAGAAACCAGAAAATGAACAAAATAAAGTCAACACACCAAATAGGGTGAGCTTATCCGTTGTGTGCACCCACCTCACTTCCTGTCTGCAGACACTTCCCAGGGCTTTTTGCTCCACCAATGCAGTAACCTCTCCTGCAGGACTTTGCACAGCATCTTCTCAGAACTGGCTTCCAAGGCCTGGGAACTGAGATGCTGTGGGCCAGCATTTGCTGGAGGGTACATCGGCTTCCCCTCTGCTCCAGTCAGGGTGCTGGGTGTCCCAGGGCGGCATGGGCTCCCCTTCTGCAAAGAGGAAGTGAGTTCAGAGAAGGGAAACAAGGAGCTCAAGAAAACAGCATGAAAGCTCAGCGGCTGGGCTGAGGGATCCAGGAGTCCTGAGTCCTCCCCTGGGTAGCTGCTGGCACCTGGTCCTGGGCCTCATCTTGTCATGTTCCTGCCATTGCTCTGTGTAGGGAGAATCCCAGCCTATCTTTTTTTTTTGAAAAAAAAAGTGTTCTGGGGTGTGGCTGTAGCTTGCCTAGCGTACATAAAGCCCCAGGTTCGATTTCTAGCACCACATAAACCAATGGTAGTGGTCCATACCTGTAATTCCAGCACTTGGGAGGTGGAGAAAGGAAAATCAGAAGTTCAGGTCATCCTCAGTTACAGTTAGCCACATGGTGGCTAACAACCATCAGAAATTCCAGTTCAAGGGCATCCAACGCTCTGTTCTGGCTTCCACAGGCATTGCATGCATATGGTGCACTTACACATATGCAGGCAAAATACTCATATACATAAATTAAAAATAATTTAAAAAATAAAGAAGGGCAGGGCATGGTGGCTCACGTCTTTAATCCAAGCATTTAGTAGGCAGAGGCAAGAGGATCTTTGTGAGTTCCAGGCCAGTCTGGTCTACATAGTGAGTTCCCAGCCAGCTGGGACTACAAGGAGACCTGGTCTTCAAAAAAACAAAATTTGTGGGTGACTGGGGAGGGGCTTAGAAAGATGGCTCAGCAGTTAAGAGCATCGGCTGCTCTTGCAGCTGGACAGATGGCTCAGTGGTTAAGAACACTGGTTGTTCTTGCAGAAGACCCGGATTCAGTTCCCAGTACCCACATGGCAGCTAACAATCATTGCTAACTCTGGTTCCAGGGGATCCTATGCTCTCATCTGGCCTGTGCCGGCATTATACAACATAGGTGTACTTAACATGCATGTAGACAAAATACACATTAAAACATTTTTTTTGAGGAAAAAAATTAAGCAAGTATTCTGACGTTGACTTCATTTCATAATAAGTTCAGAGTAGTTCATGATAAATTACAAATAATCGCTAAGGATAATCATTGCTCTAATGGTCCACTCGAGGAAGTATGCCTGCTTTCTAGCTTCTGGTTTTCAGTGGGTGTGTGTTTTTACCGGCAACAACAAATTTCATATTTAAGATACTTTTCCTTTGTTTCGGGTTTTAATGAGTGATTTCCTTTCTTTTGTATTTGTGTTTTAAAGACTTCTTAAAAGGTGAGCTCTGTGTCTGGTAAAGGAAACTGCTTGTGCAGATTAGTATTGTGTATCTTTGGACAATTTGATGACAATGAAAATGGGACTTTTAAAAAAATTGTTGTGCAATGCCCACAGAGGACAGAAGAGGCTGCCTGGTTCCCTGGAACTGGAGTTACGGACAGTTGTTAGCTGGTCCCCTGGAACTGAAGTTACAGACAGTTGTTAGCTGCCATGTGGGTGCTGGGATTCGAACCGGGGTCTTCTGCAAGAACAACCAGTATTCTTAACCACCGAGCCATCTCTCCAGCCCCGAAAATGGGACTTTTTTAATCTGATAGAATCAGCTACAGTGCTCTGTATTAAGCTGTTTAAAAGCTCCTCCCCTGCCCCCTGGCCAACAAAGTTATAAATAAAGACCATCACATCATACATGTTAAAAAATTGCTGGGCATGTTGGCGCATGCCTTTAATCCCAGCACTCGGGAGGCAGAGGCAGGCAGATCTCTGTGAGTTCAAGGCAGCCTGGTCTACATAGTGAGTTCCAGGACGGCTGGGGCTACAGGGAGACCCTGCTTCAAAAAAACCAAAAAAAAAAAAAAACAAAAAAAAACTAAGAGGCTGGAGAGATGGCCCAGCGGTTCAGAACACTGGCTGTTCTTGCAGAAGACCCAGGTTCAAATCCCAGCACCTACATGGTAGCTAACAACTGTCCGTAACTCTAGTTCCAGGGGATCCAACAACTTCTATCCTTTGCGGCCATTGCATGACACAGGTGCACTTACCTACATGCAGGCAATACACACATACACATAAAATAAAAACAATAAAATATTTTTTAAAAAATTAAATACTAGCCGGGCGTGGTGGCACACGCCTTTAATCCCAGCACTCGGGAGGCAGAGGCAGGAGGATCTCTGTGAGTTCAAGGCCAGCCTGGTCCACATAGTGAATTCCAGGACAGCTGGAGCTACAGGGAAACCCTGTCTCAAAAAGACCAAAAAAAAAAAAAAATTAAATACTTGGAGGCAGAGACAGTCAGATCTCAGCAAGTTTAAGGACAGCCTGGTCTACATAGTGAGTTCCAGGCCAGCTGGGGCTACAGGGAGACCCTGTCTCTCAAAAAGACCAAACAAACAAAAATAAATAATTAAGTAAAAGTGCACAGGCTCAGAATTTTCCCTCTGCCATTTACAGTTTGGGTAACCGTGGGCCAGTTACTTCACCTCCTGCCTTGGTTTCCTGTTTGCAATGGGATAAGAATGGAGGTTCATAGGTTGCTGCAAAGTTGGAAGTGTACAAAGCCACATCTGGCCCTTGATTAGACTCAGGGTTTTTGTTGTTACTGATGGACAGTTTCATGATGATGTGAAAGCGACATGTATTCTGTAAAAACGATTGAGTTCTCTTTGGTTTTTTTTTTTGGTCTTTTTGAGACAGGGTCTCCCTTTAGCCCCAGTTGTCCTGGAGCTCACTATGTAGACCAGGCTGGCCTTGAACTCACAGAGATCCGCCTGCCTCTGCCTCCTGAGTGCTGGAACTAAAGGTGTGTGCCACCATGCCTGGCTGAGTTCTTATTTAAAAAAAATTTTTTTTAATTTTATGTGTACGAGTGTATTGCCTGCATGTATGCGAGTGCACCCATGTCCTGCAATGCCGTGGAGGTCAGAAGAGGGCGTCTGATACCCCTGGAATTGGAGTTAAGGACGGTTCATAGCCACCATGTGGGTGCTGGGAACTGAACCTGGGTCCTCTGTAAGAGCAGTCAGTGCACTTAACTGCTGAGCCATCTATCCAGCCCTGAGTTCTCATTTTGATTTTAGCTTTTCCTAGGCTGGGAAACAGCAGGTATCTGCAGCACACTATGTGTTGGTTTATAAGAAACATGTTCCAACCAAAGGATTTTTAAAATTTATTTATTTTTTGTCTTTTTGAGACAGAGTCTCCCTGTAGCCAGCTGGCCTGGAACTCACTATGTAGACCAGGCTGGCCTTGAACTCACAGAGATCCACTTGCCTCTGCCTCCCAAGTGCTGGGACTACAGGCATGCGCCACCACGCCCAGCTCCCCTTGTTCTTTTTTTGATTGTCTCTCCCTATAGCCCAGGCTGGCCTGAAGCTCATGATGCTCCTGCCTCAGCCTCCTGAGGACTGGGATTACAGGTGTGTGTCACCATGCCCACTTTATTTCCAGGTCTTCTTTGTGGCTGTTGTAGTTTGTTATCTGTTGATGTGCTAAAACACTGATCAAAACCAACTTGGGGAGGAAAGGGTTCATCATTGAGGGAAGCCAGGGCAGGAACATACCAGCAGGAATCTCGAGGTGTGGGAACTGAAGCCAACACCATAGAGGAGCCCTGCTTACTGGCTTGCTGCCTCTGCTTTGCTCAGCTAAGTTTGTTATGCAGTCCAGGCCCACCTGCCCAGAATAGCTCTGCCTGTAGGGGCTGGCCCCTCCTACAGCAATTTGCAATCAAGAAAATGCCTCAGCAGACATGCCCACGTCTAGTCTGATGGAAGACATTCCTCAAGTGAGGGTCTTTCTTCCCAAGTAGCTCTAGTTTGTATCAGATTGACAAAAACTTGACCAGCACAGTGGCCAAATGTGCATCTCTCTTAAGTCCTTTCTGGAAGGCCCTTCCTAGACCTGACTGCTAGGTGGGACTGTCCTGTGGAGTATTATTGTTAAAAGTCCAATTTTTTTTTTTTTTCGTCTTTTTTTGAGACAGGATCTCCTGTAGCCCCACCTGTCCTGGAACTCACTATGTAGACCAGGCTGGCCTTGAACTCATAGAGATCCTCCTGCCTCTGCCTCCCAAGTGCTGGGATTAAAGGCGTGCGCCACCACATCCAGCTTAAAGGTCAAATTTTTACCTTTCCTATCTGTCAGCCCTTAGACACAAAGCATTTTTATCCCATCTGTCACACTAATGTGTTCCAACCCTGGAGGCAAAGCAGGGTTTGTTGTATTCTTGTGTTTTTGAGACAAGGTCTCATGCAACCCAGGCTGGCCCCAGAGTCATTATGTAGCTGAGGATGACCTTGAATTCCTGATCCTCTTGCCACTACCTCCCAAGTGCTGGGATTATAGACTTGTGCCACCAGACTCCTGCCTGAGTGGATCTATTTCAAGAGTGATTTTGACTGGGTCACTGGACCCTGCCCCTGGTTGAGCTTCCAGCCCTGTGCAGAGCTTGTGCCAGGCTCTTGGGTGCTAGTGACCGTGAGCACAGCAGGTGACCCTTGCCCTTCAGGAGCCTGGCAAGAAAGCTGGATGCCTGTGGGAATCAAGAGAGGGGCACTTGCCTACAGGGTGCGGGGCAGAAAAATCCCCAGGAGGGAAGTCGTCTGCTTGGCGTGGCATCCCACTGCCCCAAGTCACTCTTTTGAATTTCTTATGCTTCTTTGAGTATACCACATTCCCTTGCTGCTAAGACTTTATTTTTATTTATGTTTATGAACATTTTGCCTGCAATGCATGTCAGTGCACCTGTGCATGCAGTGCCCGTGGAAGTCAGAAGAGGGTGTCAGATCCCCTGGGACTGGAGTTACAGACAGTTGTTAACAGTTATATGGGTGCTGAGAACTGAACCCATGTCCTCTGCAAGAGCAGCTAGTTCTCTCAGTTGCTGAACCTTCTTTCCAGCCCCTGCTAAGCCTTTCTTGTCTACCTCACCTTTCCCACCTGGGTCAGTTCTTTCCTGCCTGGCCTCATCTGCATGATAGTTCCTGCAGCCTGCTTTCCCTGACTGTCCATGTGCTCCTGTAGCCCCTGCCTCCTGGGGAACACACAAAATATATTTGTATATGTGACCTTTGGGCTTCACACATGCTAAGTGGGCACCCTACCACTGAGCCCCAGTCCCTGCCCCCATGTCTCCTACTTATCCTCTGTCCCCTGCAGACTATCCCTGTCTCCACAGCTGTGTTGCCCCAGCACCTGGGATTTTCACATGCTTTTAGCAAGAACTGTGGGAGCCCTTGTTGTATGCCAGGCATTGTGCTGGCAAGACTGCTGGGGGAGGGGGAGTCACAGACTGTGTTGTATGATGTAGGAGAAAGGGAAAGAGAAGATCATTAAATAGTACCGTTTCCCAGGAGCCCAGTGAAGGACACAGAGTACATCAAGGAGGGCAGGGAGTGGCCACTTGATGCATGGTCAGGGAGGGCCTTTCAGGAGGTGGCAGTGGAACTGAGCAGCAACAGGCAATCTTGAGATGTGGGGAGGAGAATGGCAGGCCAGGGAAAGCATGAGGTTCTGTGCTGCTAGGATTGCTGGGGAAGAGGACAGGATATCCAGGGGGAACCTCTTTCAGGGACTTGCCTAGGCTACTAGATTTCCAAACCTTTTGACTGTGAGTCACAGTAATAAATACATTCCCTACCACACACCAAGTTCACACACACGTATGTAACTGAAACAAGTTTCAGGAAGCAGTCCTTCCCCATCCAACATGTGACGCTCTTTGCTGTGAGCAGATATTTTCTCTTCTTCCCATCATTTAATGGGCTGAATGCTGTTCACTAGATAATTACAGGATGCCTTCATGGCCTGGGACTTGGAGTTTGCCAAATGTTATTATAGACCTCAGTAAGGAACTTGTATTCAATTAAATAAATTTATTATCACTATTATTTGGGTTTTTTTTTAAACAAAAGTCTCACTATGTAGCCCAGGCTGGCCTGAGACTGCTGGTATTAAAGGCATGTGCCACCATGTCCGACTAGTTTACTTATTTATTTTCTGTGTGTGTGTGTGTGTGTGTGTGTGTGTGTGTGTGTTGTGTTAGTGCACATATACTAACTAGGGTGCATATGTGGAGGTCAGAGGACAACTTACAGCAGTTGGTTCTCTTCTTCCACCATGTGGGTTCCAGGCATGGGACTTGATCAGGTCATCAGTCTTAATAGCAACTGCCTTTACCTGCTGAGCCATCTCATTGGCTCCTAAATTAAATAAGAAAAAATTTTTTAGACATTGTCTCACTGTGTAGCCCTGGCCTGCCTGGAACTCACTGTGTAGACTAGGCTGGCCTTGAATTCATAGAGCTTCATCTTTCTCTGTGGGTGGGAAGGTAACTGCTTGTTGCCACATGCTGGGAATTCTGGGACTGACCTGTAGTAACCTGGCTTCTATTTGTCTCTGTGCAGTAGAAACGACTGTCTCCATCTTAGGGAGGTTCAGCAGGGCTGAGTGGTTTGCCTTTGGCATAGGACTTGAATGTGAAGGTGTCCCTGGTCTGTGTGATGTGGGGTCTGATTGTAGCTGCTGTTGTGCCCAGAGGTGATAGCTGTCTAGCCTTGGGCAGGTTGGCACCTCCCAGGGCTTCGGGATTTCCATCTGTCTCATAGTCTTTTTTCTCTTGAAGCTGCTGTTTCCTCACCTGGAAAGGACCCAACATCCCCTTCCCCCACATCTACATCACCTGCTGCACACCCAGGAGCTGAAGTTCAGGTAGGCAGATAACTTGGGTGGAAAGCAGAGGGCTAGAGGACAGCCAACATTGCAGCGAATATTATGGAAGTTGACCTTGACCATGTTCAGAGGGTATTCTCTGTCCTTGCCCTGTTGGCTTTGGGACCTGAGTCTCCCAGGCCAGATCAGGGTGTCAGCCCCCTTCTATAGGAGGAAGCCTAGATGCTTTCTCCAGGGCTCAAGTGAGCCAGGTTCATCTGTGACTGAGAAGACAGGCCTGGTAATATCTTTGCCATCACAGGACAGACATGAGGAGCTGCATCCATAACGATGTGAATATTTCCCCTCACCCTATGGAGCCAGAGCTTTGAAACACTCTGTGATCTCACTGAGGCCTTTCCACAGTGGCATCTCAGGCTCTGTTATATAGACAAGAAACTCTGGCTCACTGAGATTGGGTTCTTTGTCCAAAGTCACTCAGCAGAGAGGTAGGCCACCCTGACAGTCAGTTCTCCTCAGGAAATCAGGTTTTCCCATTCTCTAGAGACAATGAAGCCCAGAGTGGTGCCCTGGCAGACTGAGTGGGCTGAGTTAGCTGATAAGAGTCCCAGAGATGGCACTGGTGTTTAAACTTCGGAGAGCAGGCAGAAAAAGTGGGCCAAGAAGGATATAGCCCACAGGGAGGCCACCTGGAGGAAAGGAGGGTCATCCAGAGTGGGCACCAGGAGGGACTGTACAACTAAGGGTTGCCTTTCCCAGGGGTGGGGACCCTTGGAGGTCTGGCTTCACTGTTTCCATCCTTCTTGGAACCTTGAGCAAGTCTTTCCCTTTCTGGGCTTTGGCTTCTTCATCCAGGAGAAGGTGACAGTCTCCTGCCCTTTGCTTTCCCTAGGACTCCAATCATGTGTTACCACCATGAATCTGGGTGTGCCCACTTACGGGACAGTGACCATGAGAGGAAGGGGAAATGTTCTGTTGTAGCTTGGCTGGTGACTGTACTCCATTCCCTGTAGGGTGAGGAGCTCTCTTCAGACAGCCTGTCGGAGCAGGGTGCTCAGCAGCCCCCCAGCAGTGTGTGTGCAGCCTGTGGGCAGCGAGTGCATCTGGTGCAGCGGTACCTGGCTGAGGGCAGGCTCTACCACCGGCACTGCTTTCGGTAAGTGTTGCAGGTCTGGGAGGGAGTTTCCCTGGGGTGAGCACCCACTGTGTATCAGGCTCCTGGTTCATCATGCCAGAGCACTTGGCTTGTCCCCACTTTATTGAGGAGTAAACTATGGCTTCATGAAGAGACCTGCTCAATCTTGGAATTTCTCTTTCCTTCCTCCTCTCCTCCTGTCTTTTCTATGGCACTAGGGCTTGAACCCAAGTCTAGGCGCATGCTAGGTAAGCATGCTACCACTGAGTGATGTACCTGGCCCCCATTCATATGACTGGAGTAGAATCTCCTGACTAACATGGGATGAGAGCCCAGAGCTTCTGCTTCCTGGATCAGCCTCCTGAGGATGACTGCCTGATGGTGACTGGGGAGTGGTATATACCCTAAAGCCATTGAAAGAAGAAAATCTTCTTTTTTAAAATTTTAAAAAATTAAAAATTTCTTTGTATTTGTTTTGCCTGCATGTATGTAAGTGCACCATCTGTGTGCAATACCCACAGAAGCCAGAAGAGGGCATCTGACCCCTCGAACTGGAGTTACGGACAGTAGTTAGCCACCATGTATGTGCTAGGAACCAAATTGTAAGAGCATCCAGTGATCTTAACTACTGATCCAGCTCTCCAGCCCCTTGTTTTTTTTAAAAAAATGTTTTATTATTTTTATTTTATGTATATGAGTATTTGCCTGCATGTAAGTGCACTTGTGTCTTGCAATGCCTGCAGGGGTCAGAAGATGGTGTCAGATTCCCCTGGAACTGGAGTTACAGGACAGTTGCTAATCACCATGTGGGTGCTGAGAACCTAACCTGGGTCCTCAGCAAGAGCAGCCAGTGCTTGTAACCACCAAGCGATCTCTCCAACCCCAAGCCCCTGATTTTTTGAAGACAGGGCCTCACTAGCCAAAGCTGGCCTGGAATTTAGTTCTCTGGCCTCATCTCCCAAGTGCTTGGATTGAAGGTGTGTACCATACCTGCCTCTAAAAAATGTGTTTGAGCTAGGCATGGTTGTGCATGTCTCTAATCCCAGCACTTAGGAGGCCAGAGGCAGGTGGGTCTCTGTGAGTTTAGATCAGCCTGGTCTACATAGTGAGTTCCAGAGGCTACAGGGAGACATTGTCTCAACAACAACAACAACAACAACAATAACAATAACAGACATGTTTGACACTAATTAGATGTAAATACATGGTGTGAAACTTGAGTACACAGATGCACAACTGGAATTAGACTCATACAGCTGTTTGTCTTTACTTGCAGGATTCACTCTGATATATATTTATAATTTCACTGAAAACAAACCATAGAGGTTGCAGGTGTGTCTCTGTGGTAGAACACACCTATTTGGTATTTGCAAGGCCCTGGGTTCCCTCCCCAGCACTGCAAAATAAACACACACCAATAAATAGACCTGGGCTGTGGCTCAATGGTAGAACATGTGCTTAGCATTTTTAAAAAATTTATTCTTAAAAAATTTTATGTGTGTTAGCTGGGCTTGGTGGCACACGCCTTTAATCCCAGCACTCAGGAGTCTGAGGCAGACGGATCTCTGTGAGTTCAAGGCCAGCCTGGTCTACATAGTGAGTTCTAGGACAGCTGGAGCTACAGGGAGACCCTGTCTCAAAAAGACCAAAAAAAAAAAAAAAAATTTATGTGTATAACTGGGCGTGGTGGCGTACACCTTTAATTCCAGCACTTGGGAGGCAGAGGCAGGAGGGTCTCTGAGTTCAAGGCCAGCCTGGTGTACATAGTGAGTTCTAGGACATCTGGGGCTACAGGGAGACCCTGTCTCAAAAAAAAATTGTTTTTTACATGTATGAGTATATTACCTGCTTGTATGTAAGTGCACCCCTGTTGTGCAATGCCCTAGGAGGTCAGAAGAGGGTGTTAGATCCTCTGGAGTTGCAGTTATGGACAGGTGTTAGCTGCCATGTGGGTACTGGGATTTGAACTGGTCCTCTGCAAGAGCAGCTAGTACTCTTTGCCGCTGAGCCATCTCTCTAGCCCTGTGCTTAGCAGCATTTTTTGAAACCTTGACTTTGATTCCCAGCCTTGGGGCAGAGCAGGGTGGGGGACACCCCAAAATAAGCAAACCTGGTAGGTAGAAAACCACCAAATTGATTTCCTGAGCCACTGGCTGGAGGCAGCCCTCCCACTGAGCATGCTCTCGGGCAAAACTTTACCTTTTCCTCTTGTGGCACAAACAGCGTGTTTCACAATTTCTGTTGCTGTTTCATGTGATTTTATTGTTCTAACGTGTTTCTCACAGTTACCATTTCTTTTTCTTTTGGGAAGTCCCGAGTATGGAGCCTGGATGGGCCTGGCAAGCTGGAAGGAAGGTGGGAGGGAACACCCTTGCAGTCTGATGGAGAAGTACCCAGTGTCTGACTAAGCCAGTCCTGCTAAGGGGATCTCTCACCCTGTTGCCTGCAGGTGTCGGCAGTGTTCCAGCACGCTGCTCCCAGGTTCTTACAGGAGTGGACCTGAGGAGGGCACCTTTGTGTGTGCAGAGCGCTGTACTAGGCCGGGCCCAGGCGGCCGGTTGGGCACTAGGCCCCTCTCGCAGCAACAGCAGCAGGTGACAGAAGCCAAGGATGAAGAGGAAGGTGATCTCAGCCGCAGTACAGCTGCAACTGCTGAAGCAGATGGACCCCAGGCTAGCCCTGAAGCACAGCTCCAGATCCTCACCAAGCCACCGCTACCCACCAAGCCCCAGGAGCTGGCCAGCCCCCCTGTTGGCCGGCCCACACCTGCCCCTAGGAGAGCTTCTGAGAGCTCAGTCTTAACACCCCCAACACCACGGCCCCGGTCCAGCCTGCAGCAGGACAGCCTGGTGGAGCAGGGTAGTGGCAGCGGCCTAGTGAATGGTGAGTTACGGTGCAGCTGGGCAGAGAGTGATGGGTGAATGGGTCTTCTCGTGTGGGCATTGAAAATCCGTGTGCCTTGGGAATATCGAAAACTACTTTCTGAGCTGGTGTCTGTGATGGGGGCCACCTGTGTGTCAGTCACCTTGCACTTCTCTGCCGTGCTGTTCTCCAAGCTGTTATAGCTCAAAACCATAGACTCCCCCCAGTTCTGTGTATGCATTTGTGTTCTTTTGTGTCCCTCTCATGTTCTGGGGTGGAGTAAGTGTGCATCTGTATGATCTGAGTGTCTCTGGGACTGTGCATGATGGTGTCAGTCATGTGCGTACTGGCTTGTCCCCACGCGTGTGTGCTTTAGGTGGCTTCCCACTCCTATCCTGTGCCCGTGTCCATATCTGTCTAGGGAGAGATAAGCAGTCTAAGGAGGGCAGAGGGGTCACATGGACCCCCAAGCCTGTCTGAACTGAAGTGGAGATCCCTGGCCTACTGTCTGGGTCCCCCTTGCACCTATCACTGCAGGACATTCTCAGATAACTTCCATGCATGCCATGAGCTCATGGGAACAGACTCGTGGGATCTTGAGATGTGCTCAACAAGCCTTACCATTCAGTGAGGGAAGCCATTGAAGGCCTGAGGGACAGAGAGCTTCAGGGTTCGTGAGAGCCCCAGGTCTATGTGTTTGAATCTGTTCAACACTTCTGGAAGCTGACTCAGGACTGGGCACTGGGACACAGATACTGTTCAGACCTCTTTGTGTTTTTTTTCGGAGATACCAATGTCCAGGGGAGACAAGCACAGACACAGGCAGAAGCCAAGTGACATGGTAGAGATAAGACTCCCTGTAGTGGAAGGAAGGAAGAGAGGGAAGGGAGGGAGGGAGGGAGGGAGTGAGGAAGCAAAGCCTGTGTGATTCAGAGACTTGGAGTCAGGGGAGATTGCCAGGAGGTAGCACCTGGCTGAACTGAAGTGTCTGAGGGAACTAGGGTTGGGACTTCTCAATTGAAATGCAGATGGGCTCTCAGAGCCTGGCCAGGGCCTCTTGACTATTCTCCAGTCATCTTAGTGCTTATCTAATCTCTCTGAGGGCTGGGCAGGGGATACTCCATGGCCACCTGGTCCATGGCCTGCCAGGTGGGACAGAAGGACACTTCTTGTAAGGCAGGCACTCTGGCTGACTCTTGGTGCCCTTCTGCAGCCCATGAAGGCCTAGCTCACTATCCTTTCACATCTAGGAAGACTGCAGGAACCCCCTATCCCTAAGCCGAGAGGGACACCCAAGCTGTCAGAGAGGTATGCTTGAAGGCCTTGGTTGGGGAAGGGGGCTTCCTGGGACCTGGGTGGGGACAGGACTTCTTAGGGATGGGTGGGGATGGGTTCACAGGGACGCTATCTCTGGGTAAAAGCCATGTCCCTGGCTCCTTACCCATGGTTCCTCCTGGGCTTTCTGCCACCACTGCCTGACCTGTTTCTCAGGTGGGAACAGCCCCCTCTGGAGTCACTTCTCCTCTCCAAGTCTGCTACCTGCATGACATGGGAGTCCAGACTTTGTTCACAGAATACAGAAAAGCCTGGAAAGGCCTAGCTGTCATGCCTGGCTCTCAGCTCCCTCACCCTGGGGAAGGCATGCTTCCAGCTCTTCTTTGAGAGCTGACCTCATAGGGATGGTCAGTCTGTGAGAGGGCAGGGGCCACAGCATCTTAGTAGTGAGTACTTGTGCAGCTCCTGGCATGGGACCATACCCAGGGCAGGACATGGATGTCACTGGACCTTAACTACAGCCCTGTGGAGCAGGGAGTGTTATTGTGCCCATTTAGCAGATGAGGAGCCTGGCACATAGAGAGGTCAGGTGACTTGATTAAGTGTCATACAACCCTTTTTCCCTGGCTGGGTTAACGGCAGCTATGTGTTTGGAGCCTCCCCCTCCCTGGGCTTTAGGATACCCTCTTGGTATGTGACTGCCATAGTCCATTTCAGCTTTGTGCCCAGCCTGACCCCTGAGGCTGGACTTGGGAGAATGGAAGAGGCAACTTCTTACCTACCCTCTTTGGAATAGACTCTAAACTCCCTAGAGAACAGGAAGCTGATCCCTTGCCTCTGCCTCCAGGACAACAGCACCTAAGAAGGACCCTCCGTGGATCACACTGGTGCAGGCAGAGCCAAAGAAGAAGCCAGCCCCACTGCCCCCCAGCAGCCCTGCACTGTCAAGCCGGGCCAGCAGGCAGGTGGAGAATGGTGGCATGGAGGAGGGGCTCCAGCAGAACCCAGTAGCTGTCCGAGAGCCCAAGCCCTACAACCCCTTTGAGGAAGAGGAGGAGGAAGAAGAGTCAGCCCCACCAGTACCCAGTCCAGCCCCAGCAGCATCCAGTCTAGCCCCAGCAGCACCCAGTCCTGCCTCAGTCTCACTGGAGTCTACACCCAAGTCCCTGCACCCCTGGTATGGCATCACGCCTACCAGCAGCCCCAAGACAAAGAAGCGCCCTGCCCCAAGAGTACCCAGCGCATCCCCGCTCGGTGAGTACTTGCCCTTGAGCTCCTTTGGTGTCCTGTTTGCTTACTTCTGTTGCTGTGATACATACCATGACCAAAAAAGCAACTTGGGGAGGAAAGGATTTCTTTGGTTTACAGGTTACAGTTCATCAGTGAGGGGAGGCAGTCAGGCAGGCACATGGATGCAAGAGCTGACGCAGAGACTGTGGAGGAACGCTGCTTCCTGCCTTGCTTCTCCTGGCTTGCTCAGCTAGCTTTCTTACACAGCCCAGGCCTGCTTGCCTAGGGATGGCACTGCCCACAGTGGGCTGGCCCTCCTGCATTGATTAGCGATCAAGAAAATGCCTCACAGACATGTCCACAGTCCGATCTAATCTGGGAAATTCTTCAGTTGAGGTTCCCTCTTCCCGAGTGACTTCCGGTTTGTGCCAAGTTGACGGCTGAAGCTATCTGTAACGTTGGCTTTGCAGGGGTGCAGGGAGCCCCTCTAAGCTACGGACAGTGTTGGGTGCATCATCTCCCTTTTCCTCCTACAGCAGGCCTAGGACTGGGGTGGTGTTACTACCACTTCACAGGAGAGGCACAGAGAAGATAAGGACTGGGCTTAAGGCTGCACAGTGCTGAAGCAGTGGAGGCAGGATTTGAACCCTGAACTCTTAACCCTTCCTGTCATGCTAATTCAGCTTGGGGTTCAGAGAAGTGCTTGGCACAGCCTAGCATTGAGCTTCTGAAAGCCACAAGACAGGGTTTAAGTTGTCTTAAGCTCTTTGTCACCTTCCTTCTCCTGGGCTCCAGCTGCATCTGTGACCTCTGTGGGACCAAAAGCCTGCTAGGGACAGTTACAAGCAGGTGCTCTAGTGGTCTGAGCCCTGGGCCCCCTTGCTGGGTGGGTTCTGGGTAGCAGAGGGATATGAGCTCCAGAGTTGGACACAGCTGGGTTCAAGGCTGGCCCTAGCCAGGGAATGCCCTTTTCTGAGTGTACGGCTTCATCTAGAAAGTGCTGATGGATGTGGAGGCGTGGTCCATGTCATCTGCAGGAGGATACAGCAGTGCCTGGCAGTGCCTCGCCCAACATTGGCCTCAGCCAGCCCTGCTCCCCCTCCCTCTGCTGTTGCCTTCCTTTCTGTCTCTGTGCTGGAGACAGAGGCCAGCCTCGCTCTCTGGCCTTCCCTATACCAGAGTCTCTCCCATCCTGTCCTGGCAGCTTGCCTTTGGGTGGGCTTGGTCATGGGAAAGTCGTGGGGCAGGTGGGAGGTGGAGGCAGCACCCTGCTAGATAAGAGGTGAGGGCCATACTTGTGCCACAAATGGCCCACCAGGGCACCAGAGGTGTGGAGTGAGGGCTGATGACTGGGTGTAGTTTGTGACATGGGTCCCAGCATGCATTTAATGTACTCTTGGCTTGTGCCCATCCAGAGGAAAAGCTTGGTTTCTAAGGCTACCCACAACTCTGGGGAGGGGGTGTACTATGCGAGGTCAGAAGCCTTGACCACCCCTCAGCTGTTGTCGGTCTGTTCATCTGTGCAGTGCTCCACGCCTCCCGCCTGTCACACTCAGAGCCTCCCTCGGCCACACCATCACCAGCCCTCAGCGTGGAAAGCCTGTCATCTGAAAGCTGTAGCCAGACTGCCAATCAAGGGCTTCTGGAGCCGCCTGCTGTGCCCAAGAGCTCCTCAGAGCCCGCTGTGCATGCACCAGGTGCTCATGGAACCCCAGGAAACTCTGCCAGCCCCTCAGCCAACTCATCCTTATCTTCTTCTGGGGAACTAGTGCAGCCTGGTGGTGAACAGTTGCCACAGGCCAGGACCAGGGGCAGCCCAGGTACCAAGCCCTGCAGTGGTGCTACCCCTAACCCCCTTTTGTTGGCTGGAGACCGGAGCCCTGCACCCTCTCCAGGGAGCTCGTCACCCCAGTTGCAGGTCAAGGTGAGTACCCCATGGGTGTCAAAAACTGCATTTTGTCTAGTGGATGTGGGTCTGGCTGCAGGGCTTTCTGCATGCTGTCTTCTGGTTCTTGGGTGGCACAGCATCATTACCCTGAGTGGTAAGGTCTCTATGTCTTTTCATCCATCTGCCTGACTTCTCACCAGGCTGTCCTTGCAATGTGCATCTAAGCACCTGTTCACTGACACAGTGGGATCTGTTCACCCCTCCGCCCTTCATCCATACCCTTTCGTTCACTCTGGCTCTGTTGATGCCAGGCCCTGGGGACCATTACTTTAAGACCCTGTCATTGCCTGCTAGGTTCTCCCAGTCTACACAGGGAGATAGATATATGATTGTTCTAGAAGGTGATCTGTAGTAAAGCACAGAGGGGAAGGATGGGTTCCTTCAGCAGAGAGGGCAACTCCTGCCAGGGCATGAGGCAGCTAGCTCTCACCTTCTGTGCAGGTGTGCCACCTGGGCCTGAGATCACATGGGCCTAGTGGTCCCTGCTCTTGAGGCACCCGTCATTTGGTTGGGAGGTGCCAAAGTCACTCTGTGAGTATCCATACTGGTTTGCAGGGGCCAAGGCTAGTACCCTCAAGGTAAAGGGCTCAAGACACATGCCTTCCTGGGCGTCTCTGTTGTGGGCCTTGGGGGAAAGCTTAGAAAAGGCGGCAGACTAAGGCCCTGCCCAGGCCCTTTCCAGACCACGGCTGAGCCCCTGTCCCGATGTGGCTTTTGGTGGGCTCTGCAGTTCTGAGCTCACTTGTTTCTCGGTCCCAGTGCTTGTCCAGTCTTGGGTAGAGGGTGGCAGGCCAGCTCAGGGCAACTGTTATGGCCTGACCTTGTTGGACCAGCCTTACCTGTATGCCCTTCAAAAGCCACTTGACTTTTCCCTGGCATAGCTACTCATGCAGGTGCAGTATTTCCCACTCTGCCTCCTGCTCTGTGACCTTGAGAAGGCCCTGTCCTTTTCTGGGTCTCAGGTGTCCCTTGGGGGTGGGAAGTACAGTAGTGGGTCAGCTTAAAGTGACCCTCACTGCTTCATTTTTTTATTCATAACTTTTATTTATTTTTATTTTATGTGCATGAATGTTTTGCTTGCATGTATATAAGTATACCACATGCATGCAATGCCCATGGAGGCCATAAGAAGGCATCAGATCCCCTGGAATTGGATTTATAGACCATCATTAGCTGCCGTGTGGGTGCTGGGAACTGAACCTAGAAGAACAGCAGTGCCCTTAACTGCTGAGCCATCTCTCCACCCATATAATTTTTTTTGGCAGGGGATCTTTTTGGAACTCACTATGCAGACCAGGCTGGCCTTGAACTCACAGAGATCCACCTGCCTCTGCCTCCCAAGTGCTGGGATTAAAGGCGTGTGCCACCACGCCCGGCTCGTATAATTTTTATATTTAAGAGTTTTTTATTTTTTCTGGGCACATGTCTTTAATCCCAGCACTCAGGAGGCAGAGGCAGGTCAAGCTCTGTGAGAATGAGGCCAGCCTGGTCTATGTAGCCAGTTCCGGGCCAGGTGAGGCTACAGGGAGACCCTGCCTCAAAAACAAAAATTAAAAGAAGAAATATTTTTAAGGTCATTATTAGATTCAGTTTGGTTATGTACTAGGTAGTCTTGCAGTCTGTCACCCAGCTGTCCTGGAACTCACTATGTAGACCAGGCTGGCCTTGAACTCACAGAGATCCGCCTGCCTCTGCCTCCCAAGTGCTGGGATTAAAGGCATGTGTCACCATGCCCGGCTATTTATTTATTTTTTAAAAATATTTTATTATTTTATGTGTATGAGTATTTTGCCTGCATGTATGTCAGTGCACCTGTGTCGTGCAATGCCATGGAGGTCAGAAGAGGGCGTCAGATTCCCCAGGAACTGAAGTTAAGGAAGGTTCTTAGCCACCATGTGGGTGCTGGGAATAGAACCCGGGTCCTCTGCAAGAGCAGTCAGTGCTCTTAACCGTTGAGCCATCTCTCCAGACCCAAAATTTTATTTTTAATTATATGTGTTTGTGTGTGGGTTTGTGCACATGCGTGCAGCGCCCAAGGAGGCCAAAAGAGCTGAAGTTACAGGTGCCTGACGTGGGTGTTGAAAACCAGACTCTAGTCCTCTGGAAGAACAGTGCATGCTGTAACTGGTTGAGCCATTTCTGCAGCCTGCCTAGGTCTCAGAACTCGCTACGTAGACCAGACTGGCCTTGAACTCAGAGATGTGCCTCTGCCTCTGCTGGGGTTAAAGGTGTGTACCACTGTGCCCAGCTCCAGCTCCACTTTTCATACCTCCTTGAGCTCTATAAAAGAATGATTTGAGGGTGCTCTGTGGCTTAAAAAGCCCAGAAGGGCTTTGGACTCTGCTGGGTCCCCTCGGGGGTGTTTAGACAGAGAGAAAGCACAAAATCCCAGGGGCACTTCCTTCTCAGGGACCCAATCCCACCCTCACCTCCAGGATTAGGAGAGAACGTCAGGGACTCTTTCAGTGGGGTAGGCCACTCTTAGTGGCCATGGGTGGCCACCCTGGCTCTGGCCCTAGGCCCACTGTGTCTGCACTTCATGGAACCAGATGCTGGCTCCCTGCCATGTCTAGCTCTATATATGGCTCTAGTTTAGACAGTTCTTATGCCACAGAAAATCCCAGTGTAGCTCCCAGCCTAAGTGCATAGGAGAGATCTGTAAGGGTGACACTTTAGGCTTAGGCATGACTGTTTACCAGGAGCTGGGAGAGCTTTGGGAAACATGCTGCCCATGTGGCAGGCAGGGCCCCACTGTGCCAGGTGGTGGCAGCAAGTGGGGGAGATTGGAGGAGTAGGTAGGGGTCTCCCTAGAGATGCAGAGCCAGGGTCTGGATGTGTCTGTGGTGGGCTGGGCAGCAGAAGGTTAGAAGGGAGGAGAATGGCCTCCCTCTATCTGTTGGCCAGAGGGCAGGCGGGATTCCTGCTTTTGTACTTCCTAGCTGAGTGACCCTGGGTGGGGAGCTTTGCCTCTCTGAGCCTTTAGAGTCTCCACTGGAAAAAGGTGGCTGTGAGGCCTGAACAAAGTCCTATAACTAGCTGTGCATTGTTTGACTCTATGACCTGAGCACTGCCCCTCAGTGCTGGATGGGTGCTGCTGGGTGCTTGGGAAGTAGGTGGCCTTGAGCTGGGTGCTTAACCTCTCGGAACTTAACTTGCTTAGCTATGAATGGGCATTACAGTACCCAGTTTGCTGAGGGTTGTGAGATTGAGCCTTTTTTGTGTGTGTAGTACCAGGGATAGAACCCAAAGCTTTTCACAAGTTAAACAAACATGCTTAAACAAAGAAACAAACTAAAATTTTTACTTTGTTCATTGACAGTTTCATGGATCTATAAAGTGCATTTTTATTTTTATAACTCAACCACACTCTCTACTCTTCCTCCCAGCCCATAACCACCCTCCTTCCTATAAGTTCCTTTCCTGTATTCAGACAAGGACTCTTCTACTGAACCATACCCTCTGCCCTGGTTGTGAGATTTAGAAATATTTTATTTATTATTTTTATGTATATGAATGTATTGCTTGCCTGTATGTAGGTGCACCTGTGTCATGCAGTGCCCATGGAGGTTGAAAGAGGGAGTTGGATCCCCTGGAACTGGAGTTAGACAGTTGTTAGCCTCCATGTGGGTGCTGGGAATCAGATCCAGGCCCTCTTCAAGAGTATCCAGTGCTTTAAGGGGCTGGAGAGATGGCCCAGTGGTTAAGAGCACTGACTGCTCTTACAGAGGACCCGGGATTGATTCCCAGCACCCACATGGCTACAAACCGTCCTTAACTCCAGTTCCAGAGGAATCCGAAGCCCTCTTCTGACCTCTGGCGTTCCATGATACGGGTGCACTCACATACATGCAGGCAATACACTCATACACATAAAATAAAAAGAATAAATAAAATATTAAAAAAAAATGTATCCAGTGCTTTCAACCACTGGTTGTGAGCTTTAAACAGGATGGCACATACAGTGTGAAAACCATCCCCAGAAGTGTTCTGCAAATAGAAATGTTCTGCATGAGTGTAGAGAGCTGGAATTTGGGGGTGATTTGTCCTTGCCTAGGCTCTCCTCCCCATGGCAGGCCCTCCCCCTTGTGTTGGGCCCTCTTGCCACTAGGGTCCTGGCCTGCTTTCTGTATTCGCATATGACCAGAGTTCCTGGACTTAGCCTGTCATGTCCTGTTTTTAGTCTTCTTGCAAGGAGAATCCTTTCAACCGGAAGCCATCTCCCTCAGCATCTCCAACTCCAAGGAAGGCCACCAAAGGAGCCAAGCCAGTGAGGCCACCTGCCCCTGGACACGGCTTTCCACTCATCAAACGCAAGGTACCATCAGGGAGCCCCTGAGACTGAGCTGGCCTGGGCCCCTGTGGCCTCCCCTCAGCAGCCTTAAGCTGAGCATCTGGGGGCTCAGGGTGACCCTACTGGAAAGTTGAATTTGCAGCCATGAGTAGATGGGGCAGTGGGTGGGGCACTTGGCCTGTTACTAACAGTGGCTCAAGGGTCAAGCATCATGGGAAGCTTCTCTGAAGGGAATTCTCAGGTTCTCTGTAACCTGTTACACTAGGGTGCCATCTCCCCGCTGAGAATCTCTTTGAAGTGGCAGAGAAGGGAGGAGCTTCCATGAAGAACTGGAGCATGAGCATCTCACTGGGAAATCTGTCAGACCCTTGACCTGGAAGGGTCGTGGCCACTATGACTCCTTCCCCACACCTATGCTGCTTTCTTGCCATGTGATCTTAGGGGACAGGACCTGGGTCCCTGGAGACTGCAGTGGCCAGGGTCCCCACACAAAAGGATGCCCCCATGCAGTAGTATGAGCTAGAAGAGAGGCGGTGGATGGAGGGTCACTGCCCTTCAGGTGACGGGGTATTGTTGGGCAGGTCCAAGCTGACCAGTACATTCCTGAGGAGGACATCTATGGAGAGATGGACACCATTGAGCGCCAGCTGGATGCCCTGGAACATCGTGGAGTTCTGCTGGAGGAGAAACTGCGTGGTGGAGCGAATGGTGCGGGAGTTGCAGGGAAGAGCTGGCTCTGGGCCGTGGGGTGGTGGGAGCCCCTCTTCCCAGGGGGAACTGACCAGGGAGGGGGTGCCAGCTCTGGCCTCAGTGGGATCTGGCTTCCAGAGGGCCGTGAGGATGACATGCTGGTGGACTGGTTCAAGCTCATCCACGAGAAGCACCTGCTGGTGCGGCGAGAGTCGGAGCTCATCTATGTGTGAGTGTTGCCTGCCCTGTCACTCCCTCATAGGACCTGTGCAGTGGAGACCTGGGAACTGGCCCCTCTTCACTGACAGCACAGTGTGGGTTAGCTGGCACCTGGCAGAAGTGTTCATTGTCCCCTCATTCCCACCCTTTAGCTTCAAGCAGCAAAACCTGGAGCAGCGCCAGGCTGACGTGGAGTATGAGCTCCGGTGCCTTCTCAACAAGCCGGGTGAGCCAGTAATCCCAGCACCAGGGAGGAGCACTGGGGAGGTGGAGACAGAAGCATCAGGAGTTCAAGGCCTAGCTGGGCTATATGGAGAGTTCAAGGCTAGTCTGGGCTAGATGGCCAGCCAGCCCAGCTGAATCAGTGAACCCTCATTAAATTATGAAAGACCCTGTCTCGAAACACAATGTGGATGGCTCCTGAGAAACAACACCCAAGGTTGATCTCCAGTCTCCACACCCATGTGCATGCACATATACATGCACCCACATATATATACACACACACACCTCAAAAACCCTTTTTCTAAAACCCAAACAAGCTGGGTGTATGCTATACCAGCCCAGGCCTGGGAGAAGGTTAGAGGAAGAGGAGGAGAGGGACTTTTGGACCAGCTTAGGACAGGAGCAGTTTTTATAGGTAACAAGTAGCTCCAGCCAGGGAGGACAGGGATTACATGGACAGGGTAGGGATGTTGATGTCCACTGGTGTTGAGGGTGATGGACCCTAATTGAGCATCCTTGTTGGTGTCTTGGGCATGATATCAGACCACTAACTTGCAGTGTGATGTTAGGCAGGTTTACCTTTCTGGGCCTTGGTGGCTTTATATGTAAGGCAGGAATGAGAGAACCCTCAACTGATTTGAGGGCTAGGTTGAGGCTGGGAGAATGCCTGACCTAACCTGTGACTGTGGCACATAGTGAACTTTGACCTCTTTCCTATGGCCTTGGTGGGCACCATTGCCATTTTACAGCTGAGGGAACAGTAGGTCCAGAGACTGAGGGTTTGCCCACTCGATACATTTCTGCCCTGAGCCTGTGTTGCATGCAAGTCCCCAGTCTTTGAATTGAGTCCGCCTCTCGGTTGACTGGGGAACTTGGGAGGTTGAAGTGACCCCTGAGGATGTCACAAAATGTCCCAGGCCTCTGCTGACAGCTGTAAGTCAATGGCTCAGCAGGAAGCTGGGGCATGGCCACCACTCAGGAGCCACAGCAACACCCTGTGGGCCAGAGTTGGTACAGACCCTCCTCCAATGCTCTGGGTTCATTGTTGCTTCTCCAGCCAGGAGGCTGGACTTTCAGCCTGTCCCTGAAGTTGCTTTTGAAGGTGAGGCTGGTTTATATGGCCTTCAGGAGTTGGATCCATAGATACCATGAAAGGCCATCAAGTGGGGTGTGAGCTGCGTGGGTTCAATTACTGGCCTTATCTTCACTGGGTACTGCTGGCCAAAGGCTTCATTTTCCAGCTTTAGTTTTCCCACATGTATATTGGGAACATAACTCACCCAGGTTCCAGATGTGAGATGTGGCAGAGAAGGATTTGTACTTGGGTGACAACTGTGAAGCCTTCCTCTACCCCACAAGACTAGGCTGGGCCACCTGCTCCTCAGTTTGGGCAAGGTGAGGCTACTTGGGAATGGAACAGTGGTTAATGGCCCTAAGATGTTTATTTCCTGTTGTGAAATAGGGGGCACCAGATGTGGGCACCCAGCCTTGGAAGGCCTGCAGGTGATAAGGGAAATCAAGACACAGTAGTTTGAGGGTGGTACTGTGAGACAGCTCTGGGCCTGGAGGAGAGAAACTGGAGGGGAGGCAGGCAGATGCACATTGTGTCAGGGAACCTTGTGGGTGGACTAGTATCCCCAGTGCCCCTCCAGCTACCCTCCTCCATGGCCTTGGGCGAGTGTCCCAACTATGCCTCTTGAGCCATATTGCTGCTTCAGTGAATCCTTGGAAGTTCCCTGTCATCTCCCTATCCCTGACCCACTCTAGCTCAGTCTAGTCCTGCTTATCACAAGAAGCCACCAACACTTTTCTATGGTAGAGATGCAGAAACCTTTGGAAGAGTGCTGTCCCTATAGAGCCCCTTGAAAGGTGTTTGGTGGACAGCATATTGTCCTTGGTCCTTTCTGTAATGACCTTCATTTCCCTAAGAACTTGGAAGTGCACATTCTGGATCCTGCTCCCATCTCACAGCAGTTAAGAGGGATGGCCTACGTTTGCCCAGGCACCTAGGTGGCGGCTCCTCTCATCATGAAGAAGAGGGTTTCCCACCACTTAATCCTGGCTCTCTCCTCTGGCAGAGAAGGACTGGACAGAAGAGGATCGGGTCAGAGAGAAAGTGCTGATGCAGGAGCTTGTGACCCTCATCGAGCAGCGCAACGCCATTGTCAACTGCCTGGACGAGGACAGGCAGAGGTGTTGTGCCTGGGACCCTGTGGGTAGAGCAGTTCACTGACAGAGCCTGGGACACAGCCCTACCCTCACCGCCAGCCTTCCCCATACACCCCTTGCCCAGTCCAGACCTGTGGGACCTGGTGGCTGGGAGAGGCTCACAGATGACCTGGTCCTTCCTGCTGTGAGTACTCAGCTTCCTTTTCTCACTTTAGAGAAGAAGAAGAAGACAAGATGTTGGAAGCCATGATCAGAAAGAAAGGTGAGGCCCATCCTGGGGAGGAGGCTGGTCCCTTGGGGTTCTGGTCCACTTGAACCTTGTGCTTGCAGCCTGGAGATGGGGGTGGGGGTGGGGTTGAGCAGGCAGCAGAGAGATGGTAGGTTGTGTGCAAACTCCCAAGCTCTGTTGTGCTGAGAAGACCAAGTAAGGTAAGGGAGGCCAGGTGGTTTTGGCTCAGACTGGGAAGGTAGCCAGGGGATCCCCTGTGATCATGGGGAGACCTTTGCCCAGAATGGTTTTGCCTTGAGCAGAGCATCCTCCCAGAGCTCTGCAGGCTGGCTTGGGGATCTGAGGGGCCCAGAACCTGATTGGGGATCAGAGGGTGCCTGGAGTGGCTGAAGGGTGCCAGCTTGGGGTTTGACTTTGGTTCCAACAGTGGCTCATTGTGTGGCCTTGTGGCTACATCTCAGCTCAGGCTTGAGCCAAACTGTTTGACTTCTGGCTCCAGCTCAGGACAGATGAGCTAGGTGACTGAGCCAGTCCCTTCAGCCCTCACCTTATTCCTGTTTCCCATGGTGGCTCCTCTCCTGGGTGTGGACTGAGGGTTATAGAGGTGACATGTATAAGGCTCAGCCCAGGATCAGGCTCCTACAGGTAGCACAGTTGGAGCTAGTTAGTTTCAAAGCCACATACACATTGTTCTTATTGGTAAAATTCAGGTTTGTGGGGGTCCTCTAGGCCTGGCTGGTGAACTTTCTATAGTAGTTTATATAGCATAGTATACCCCAGTACAGGTGACCCGAGCCACTGAATAAAAAAATGGGCTACCTCTCAAGAGGTTCCAGATTGTTCTCACACCTGTGGATCTCCCCGTTCATTTCAGAGCACTTTGGGGGAGAAAAGGGAGACTTGGCATGCTGAAGGAACTTGCCTAAAGGCTTTACTCAGGAGGCTGGGCTGAGCCCTTGATGGTCATGTGCTCAGTGCCAGAGGCTACTGCCCCATCCTGCTGTGGTGGCTCCCCTCCCCACTTGGTTAAGGGTCTGTTCTCTGCTACAGAGTTCCAGAGGGAGACTGAGCCTGAGGGGAAGAAGAAGGGGAAGTTCAAGACCATGAAGGTGCTGAAGCTTCTGGGAAACAAGCGTGACACCAAGAGCAAGTCCCCTGGGGACAAAAGCTGACAGCGGGACAGAACAGCTAGAGAAACAAGCCTTAGCAAGGGAAGCCTCGAGGCCAGAACAGCACTTTGCAGCCCTCAGACCTGCCACTAGGGAAGATGACCTTGGGAGGGAGTCTCTAGGTGAGCTTTGCCCTCCTCAGGGTCTTCCAGCTGGTCTGGGCCAAAGTTTTCTTCCCTCTTTCCTGCATTCCAGATAGCTGTTACTCAGCCCTGACCAGTTGGACTCTGTCAACTCCAGATGCTGTGACTGGCCCAAGGGGCAAGCAGGGATGCAGGGGTCCAGAGCAGCTCCTTGGCTTTTTTTAATCAGGCCAGATGGAGTCTTCACTGTCAGTCCTGCTCATAAGCCCTGATCTGGGGCACCTTGCAGCAGGCCAGCAGCAGGGCTGGCAGCCCCAGCTTCTTCCTCTCCAACCATGGCCCTACATCCCTGCCTTCCTGTCCAGTGCAGGTGCCCTTAAAACTTACATCTCCTCACTCAGGAGCTCTATTTATGAAGTTTTAGTTCTAGCTCATTACTGGGTGGTCTGTGTTGTGTCAGATGGGAATGGGCCTGATGGGCAGGTCCTTCCTCCCTTGCCTCAGAGTTCTAAAGCAGGGCAGACCTTTGCCTCATCTTCCTTGTTCATCTACCACACATGGCCATGATGGCTTTGCTGGGGCAAGTGGGTGCCCTGTTAGCTGCCCCAGTCAAAATTCTGGTCCTGATCAGCCTAGGAAGGTGCTTACCACCTCTGGGTAGGTGCTAATCCTGGTTCTGTAATATGTTGTAGTCTGACATCTAATTCAGGCCTTGCTTCCCACCCCACGCCCAGGAGATGGGCCCATTCACATCTGTCATCAGTGCCAGTCTGTCTTCTCTGTTGTCTGTTCCCTCCTCAACTCATTCCCACCCAAGGACTGATGACTGCCCACCTACTGGATGGGTGAAGGAGAGGAAAAAGTGATGGGGTACCACTGTGCCCGTGGAATGTGCCTGGCAGCTCATGGTCAAAGCACTCTTGAAGCTCTCTGGGACTTCTGTATACTTCCCTCATACATTTTGGGGAAGGAGCGCACCGTACACCAACAATGAATGGAGACAACCTCAGTTGCCAGTGCCTTGCAGCCTTGGGCACAGCCACATCTGCCTTCTTGCCTGTCTTTGCCACACCTTGTGGCCAGGCATCTGGTCACCCAGGAGGGTCTGGGATTGTCCATCAGTGCAAACTTGACCGTCACTGCCTACCACTGGGTAGGATCCTCTTCCTATGCATATGGAGAGGTGGTTGCCTGAACCTGTGTGGTCCCTGCAAGTCTTCCCACATGCACCTGCAGTAGGGGTGTGGGTGTATGTTTGTGTCACCATCTTGAAGACCATTCAGCGGGATCTTGTGACCTAGCTGGTGTAACCCTGGGTGAGGCTGTCTCAATGTCAAGTGAGGTCCTATGCTTCAAGGGAATAGCCTCCCTCATTGAAGTCCATTATAACCAGTGAGAGTGAATGTGTGCCCAGTTGCTTCCTAAATTGTTTCCAGTTTTCTCAAGAAACCCAGAATCCAGTTTTCTCCTTTTCTTTTCTTTTCTTTTCTTTTCTTCTTTTCTTTTCTTTTCTTTTTTCTTTTCTTTTCTTTTTTGTTTTCTCCCTCCCTCCCTCCCTTCCTTTCTTTCTTTCTTTTTTTTTTTTTTTTAAGACAAGGTCTTACTGTGTAGCCCTGGCTGGGCTGGAACTTGCTATGTAGATGAGGCTATCCTCAAACTCAGAGATCTGTCTGTCTTTGCCTCTGTATATGTGGTTTATAAATGTTGCCACCTACTCTTTGTCACAGTAGATTGCACTTGTCCTGGGGTTTTCCATTGTGCGAGATCTGTGGGGTGGAGGACATGTCCTTTCTGACCCAGCCCTTATCTGTTGGCTGCTGCTTAGCCATGTTTATTATGCAGAGTGAGACACAGGTCTTGTGACTTGTTGGAATTATGTAGCTCCCAGCAGGTGCAGGAGAAACCAAAAATTTTGATTTATAGGGAAGGAAAATGACAGAAGATAGGTAAAGATAGGGCTGGTGGGCGTCATAAACCTGAAGGAAGGGAACTGATACACTGTGTGCCAGGAGGGGAGCAGGGCTGTTTCCCTGTCACTCGTCTTTGGCCTCCAGGTTGGGTCACTGAAGGGGGAGGGGATTTGGAACCAAGGCTGTTGAATTTTGCCCAAGGTCACAGGCATTTGCCAGGGCCCCTTTCAGTGTGAATCCCCCCTGACCCCCTTTGTGTTTCTTCCTGTGGTCTGTTTCCTGGAAGCCATGAAAGTGACTTTTAACCCTGAGTGGGTGCTCCATGGGTGAATGGACTAGTGTGGAGTACCTTGGTGAACCTGCATTTTCACACAGCACTCCTGAAATTTGGCACTGACCACAGGCTGCTCGAGAGCTTTGATTTTCCTTTGCTTTGAAATATGACTAAGGCAGTTAAAAGTCATCTGTGTTGGACAAGTTCTAACTCTGAACAAGTAAGTGTTATCCCTGTGAAAACAAGGTGGTGCATGTAATGACCAAGTTAAGTGTTTTATTGGCCAATTAATCGTTATGGTTAAACATTTGCCCAAGGCTACAAAAAGGCAAATCTGTAGACCCTAAGACATAGGAAGAAAGGAATCACGTTCACTCTTAGGTTCAGAAAGGACAGGAGCCGGACCCTGGAGGCCAGCAGTGGCAAGAGGAGAGTGGAAGGTGCTTTTAGATGTGGTCCAAAGTGGTACCTGGGGTCTTGCCTTGCTGTGTTGGGCTCTTTCCCCTGGAAAAAGCTCTAGTATAATGGCTGTGGTGGTTGGTAGCGCAGCTGAGGCCCCTGCATCCCTGGGCATTGTCTAGAACGCTGCAGTGCCCTTGACTACTACGTGTAGGCCAAGAGGGTTCTGTGCCATCATTCGTCACGGCCCATGTGGTGAGCAGACCTGGGGATGACCCTGCTTGGCAGAGGTAGGCTCCAGTGGTCAGGTTGGGCTTGCCTGCCGACATGGTGGACTAAGCAGTGGCCAGAGCCTTCCCAAGCTCCTCACTCCTCTTGCGATCAATGTCCTCCATTTCCCGTAGTTTCTGCAAAGGGCCATGGGGAAAGCTAGCTGTCAGCCTCACCAGCTCCTCCTATTTGACTCCACCCTTCTCCACTTCTGCGTTTTCCTACCTGGGAGATTTCGGCCAGGATGATTCCTCGGTATTGCTTGCCCTGTCCCAGAGCCTCCATGGCAGACAGGAATTCTTTCCTCTCCTGGATTTCCTTCACGACTGCACAGAGGGGAAGGGCTGTCAGTGTACAGTGGGAGTGCCAGGGACTCTGGGGAGAGGGAGTTCTGTGTCAAGTCTTGTTGGCTCCATCTAATTCTGCATACACCACCCCCCACCGCTCACGTTCATCAAACCGGTCTGGCTCAGGGGCTGGGTCCACCTGCTGCACAGGGGGAGCTTTTCTTTTCCGTTCCTCTGGGTCCTTCCCGGTGGCAAAGATGTTTTGGAGTCTTCGTTTCTCCTTCTCCAGATCTCCTGTAGAGCCCCAAAATGGCCTTGCTAAGGTGCAGAGGAGGCCCAGTTTCATGGGTTTCTATTGGGTGGCATTCTGCAAGGTGTCTGGTTTTTGAGGAGGATCCTGCAGACCCACCCCGTGGGTGTCCCTAAACTTGCTATGTCAGAAGAGCAGTTGGAACAACAAAGGAGCTTTGTAACCCACATACTACCCTGATACAGAGCAAAGAAAGGATCCTGGGCCCTGTGGTAGCCTGTGTGTAGGAAACTGTGGGGATATGTTTGGGACCAGGGGGCCAAAGGCAATCCCAGAGGCCATGGAGGAGGGGAGGAAGGGCCTCCCAGAAATGGGCTCAAATTCAGAGGACAGCAGATGTGGACCTGACAACCACGTGTCCCCCAGGGATTAGGAGAATCCAGTTAATTGGGAAAGTTCTGGAGAAATAAAGAGGGGCTCCTAACTGCTTTCCTTTGCCTCCTGAATGGGAGGAGGCACACTTGCACAGCAGCCGCTTGTCTCCAGCCCTCAGGGCCCCTGAGAACGAAGGAGAGCTCCCAGCCCAGGCCTGCCACTTACTGGTGGCTTGAGGCTTAAACTGCTCTCGGGTGTAGGCCCCGTTGGCTTGGCACATGCTGGCAGGCCGGAGGTGGGAGTGGGCAGCCAGGATGGGAGGCAGGTAGATGGCTGTTGCTGGCTTCTTGGGAGGAGAGCCCTTCTGGTTGGATGTTGGGTTGCACTGCAGGGGCAAAGGGGCCCCTCCTGGGGACAGAAGGGTTGAGTGGGAGCACCTGCCTGGCTTTCTTTGCAAATAAAAGTGATGGCTGTTAAAAGTCAAATGGTGTGGCAGAATTCCAGTACCCTCCAAGTCTGTCCTCTACAACAAGCAATAGTAACAGTTTGGTGGTACTGTCTCTTCAGCGCTTCTAAAACGTGTTCGAAGATACGTGTACATCTTTTATATGTGCACGTAAGGTTCTTTTTTAAAAACACTGGATCATACTGTATTATGGTCAATAACAGACCTTTTCACATAATGATTTATCATTGCCATCTTTCCAGAAAAATCAATTTATATATAACTTATTTTTTAAAGCTATATGCTAATCATTAGAATGGGTACATTATTTATTAAGCTAGTCTGGTTCCAGAAATTCCGGTTTTCTCCAGGTGTTTTTTTTTTTAACTACTTCAAACAGATGCTGCAATAAACACTCTTGTACATCGAGTCTTTGGAGGTGGTGACTTTATTTTTTACACTTCAGTGTGTGTATGTGCACGTGTGCATGAGTGCACATGTGGAATTGAGAGTCTGACTTGTGGAAGGTAGTTCTCTCCTTCCTTCATTGGAGACCCAGGGATCAAACTCAGGTCACAAGCTTGGTACAAGTGCCCTCATCCCCTTACCTATCTCTTCAGCTCTGGGTTTTTTTGTTTTGTTTTGAGTTAGGGTCCCTCGAGTCCAGGCTGGCCTCCAGCTCTATGGAGCTGAGGATGGTCTTGAACTTTTGAGCCTCTTGCCGAGTGCTTGGCTCACAGGCATGTGCACGTAGCCGGTTTGTGTGGTGCTGGGGCTGAAACCCAGAGCTTTATGAATGCTAGGAAAGTGCTCCACCAGCTGAGCCAAGTACCCAGCCCAGATTTTCAGTTAACAGGCTAGGAAGGCTTCATCAAGGGGGTGATGTTGAGGAAGCATGGAGAAGAGCAGTGAGGAGCCAGCTGTGCAGTTATTTGGGGGAAGAACATTCCATGTAGAGGGAACAGCTAGGGTGAAGGTGTTGAGGTAGAATCTGTCAAAGAGGCTAAGGGGGTGGAGGGCAGAGGCCAGAAGTCGCAGAAACTTCTGGAAAGTTTACTCTGTGTAAGGTGGGAAGCCATTGGAGGGTTTTGAGAAGAAAAGTCCCACTTTTTGGTTGCTGTCAAAAGTCTCATACATGGCTAAGGGCAGGACCAGGGAGATCAGCTATGAGCCCACTCAGGTAATGTGGACCAGTGGAGGGGACCTGGGCCAGGAGGTAGCAGAGGAGATGGGGAGGTCAGGGTTAGGTTGTGGCTCAAGGGACTGGAGATAGGGCTGCTGATGGGGTGGATGTGGAATGTGGTAGAACGGGGCATCAAGAATGATGGGTCTGTCCTGAGGTCTTATAAGGATGAACTTGCCATTCCTTCCTACCAGCCTCTCCCCCTTCACAGACCTGGAGCCCCTCATTTCCTGAGGAGACCCTGTTCCCACTTCTACCTCTTCCCTTGGCTCATTCTCAGCAAATAATTATGGCCTCAGTGATGCTGGGCATTTAGGACAAGGTAAGGGACTTGTAGCTTGCAACAGCATTTGACCCAAGCCTCAAAACAACTGTAGGGTTTGGTTAAGGAGATGAAGTAGAGGGGATTCTTTAAATTTATTATTAGTGTGTGGGCATGGGTGTTGTATGTGGATACCTTGCCAAGGCATGCATATGGATGTCAGAGGGCAGTTTTGTGGAGTTTGGTCTCTGCTACCTTTATGTGGGTTCTTGGGTCCCTAAGCTTTTGCAGCAAGTACTTTACCAGCTGAGCTCTCTAGCCCTTGTCTTTTTTTTTTTTTTTTGGTTTGAAAAAGGGGCTCCCTGTAGCCCCCAATGGCCTGGACCCCCCTATGTAGACCAGGCTGGCCTTGAACTCACAGAGATCTGCCTGCCTCTGCCTCCTGAGTGCTGGGATTAAAGGCATGCACCACCATGCCTGGCCAGCACATCTTTTTAAAATAATGTTTTATGTATGTATGTATGAATGTTTTGCCTGCATGTAGGTTTAAGTGTACCCATACATGCAATGCCCTTGAAGGTCAGAAGAGGGCATCAGATCCCCTGGAATTTGAGTTAGAGATGGTTGTTAGCTACCACGCGATGCTGGTAACTGAACCTGGGTCCTCTGCAAGAGCAGCCAGTGTTCTTAACCACTGAGCCATCTCTCCAGTCCCATCATATTTTTTAAAGACTTATTTTATGTGTATAAGTATTTTCCTGCATTATGTATGTGCACCAGGAGTGTGCCTGTTGCCCGCAGAGGGCAGAAATGGGCATCAGATCTCTTGGAACTGGATGTACAGCTGGTTATTAGCCTCCATGTGGGTGCTAGGAACTGAACCTGGTTCCTCTGCAAGAGCAGCAAGCACTCTTAACTACTGAGTTATCTCTCCAGCTCCCAGGGAGGAAATCTGATTAGGCCATGATTCCTTTGAAAGGGTGCTAGAGCCAGATTATAGGAGGGTTACTGTGCCAGGACTCGTGTCTTTAGAAAAACCAAGTCCCCAGGATTAAGGGTCAGAAATTTTCTTTCTCTCTCCTCTCCTCTTCTCTCTCCCTCTCACTCTCTTGCTCTCTCTCTCTAATAGGGGTTGAACTCAGGGTTTCATGTATGTTAGGTGATTCTCTCTCTCTGTCTCTCTCAGTAGGGGTTGAACTCAGTTTCATGTATCTTAGGTAATCATTCCACCACTGAGCTATATCACAAAGCTTTTTTAAAAATTTATTTTATTTATTTTAATTTTATGTGTATTGAGTGTATTGCCTGCATGTATGTGAGTGCACCCATGTCACGCAACACCTTGGAGGTCAGAAGAGGGCTTTGGATTCCCCTGGAACTGGAGTTAAGGACAGTTTCGTAGCTGCCACGTGGGTGCTGGGAATCGAACCCTTGTCCTCTGCAAGAGCAGTCAGTGTTCTTAACCACTGAGCCATCTCTCCAGCCCCAAGCCTTTTATTTTTAAAAAAGGTTTATTTTTATTTATTTGTATGTGTGTTTGTGCAAGATACATGCATGTGAGTGCAGTGCCCAAAAAGGCCAGAGGCTGCAGCTGTAGTTATGGGTAGTTATGAGTGACCCACTGTGGGTGCTGGGAACCAAACCCAGGTCCTCTGCAAGAGCAGTACATGCTCTTAACTGCTGAGTCATCTCTCCAGCCCTCCCATCCCCCAACTTTATTTTTTGTAGCCTTGGCTTATTATGTAAGGCTCAGGTAGGCTTTGAACTTCTGGTGATCCTCCTGCTTCTGCCTCCTGAGTGCTGGGATTAAAGGTGTGTACCACCATGCCCAGCATCTCTTTTTCAAAGAGGTCTTTTCTCCTTCATGTGGAGGAGCATTAAAGATGTGTTTCCAGCTGGGCATGGTGGCACATGCCTTTAATCCCAGCACTTGGGAGGCAGACGCAGGAGAATCGCTGTGAGTTCAAGGCCAGCCTGGTCTACATAGGTCATCTGGGACTACAGGGAGACCCTGTCTCAAGACAAAAAAAAAAGTCTCAAAAAAGACGAAAAATAATGTGTTCCCAATCCCTCTGCCCAGGAAGTCTCTAGACTGACTGCCCTTACTTTTCATGGTGTCCATGATGTGGCGCTGCTGGAAGGTAGTCAGTTTGGATTCCTTCATCATCACTGCAAAATAAAATGCTTTTGTGAGGCCTTAACTGTGGCAGATGACTGTACCTCACCCTGCTGAAACTTGACAGTGCAGTACCTCCTCCCCTGTTCAGCACTAAGCACTCCTGATCTTTTTCTTCATTTTCTCTAGAGCACAGGCCACTTAGGGGTTTTTTCTTATCTTTTTAAAAAAATTTTTTTGTCTTTTTGAGAGAGGGTCTCCTTGTAGCCCCAGCTGTCCTGGAACTTGCTTTGTAGACCAGGCTGGCCTCGAACTCACAAAGATCCACTTGCCTCTGCCTCCCAAGTACTGGTATTAGAGGCTTCTGCCACCACACCCGGCTCTTTTCTTATCTTTATTTATATCTTGCTCTGTTGTCCAGGCTGGCCTCTCCTGGACTCAAGCACGCAGACCACTATACCTGGCTAAGACAGGCATGTGTGTGCAAGTGTGTGGTGTGTGTGCATGTGCATATGTATGTGGTGTGCTAGGAATCAAACCCAGGCTTTATGTATGCTTAGCACATACTGTCACTGAGCCACGTTCCCCAGCTCTGTATTTTTTGTTAATTTTATTACTTGTTACCCTATTATACTATTAGCTCTCTGAAAGCAAGAATTTTATTTTATTTTATTTTTTTGGTCTTTTTGAGACAGGGTCTCCTGTAGCCCCAGATGTCCTGGAACTTACTATGTAGACCAGGCTGGCCTTGAACTCACAGAGATCCACCTGCCTCTGCCTCCCAAGTGCTGGGATTAAAGGCATGTGCCACCATGCCCAGCCTGAAAGCAAGAATTTTTTGCAGCCCTCACCCCCAGCACTTAGAACAATTTCCAGAACACATATTAGGCTTAAGCACTTTTTGTTGTTGCTTTTGAGTAAATGAATGAATATCTGTTCATTCATGTGTCAGGAACTACAATTGTGAACAGGTAACAAGAGTCATCTCTGCCTGGCTGAACTCATCATTTAGAGGGTGAAACATGGGACTAAATATCTGACTATAGAGTGTGCTAAGCCCAATGAAGGGAAATGTATTGAAACTCTGTTATTGTGGGGAGGAGATAGGCATCTCTGGCCACATTGAAAAATGCAACATAAATGTGAGGGTTAACCACTCCAGAATTCTTAGTTCTTTGACCTTTGGCCCTCACCTTGAATCCTTCTCAATCCCAGGCTCTTAAGGAAAACAGCCATGTGTCATGACACAGTTCTGAGTTACACAGGGCAACTGTTACCACCCCTAATGTCCTTTGCCCTCCTCCAACAACACTGACCTCTAAGCAGCTCGAAGGTCTCTGGGGTGTAAGCAGCCTGTTTCCGGCAAGGCCAGACTGGGGTTCCTTTGGTCACTGCATCCATCCTCTGCTGTGAAGCCATGGAGGGCCCTGGGGGGAAAGAAGCAGTGATTCAGTCCCTGTTGCAAGCCCTAGTCCCTCATCCTCAGCTCCTGGGCGTCTGAGAATATGGTGCCCTTCTGCTCTGACCCAGGCAGATGCATAATGGAGCCTTTAAGATGACTATGGTGAGGGCTGGAGAGCCGGCTCAGCAGTTAAGAGCACTTACTGCTCTTGCAGAGAATCTGAGTTCACTTGGTTCCCAGCACCCACAGGGTGGCTCAGAACCACTTGTAACTCCAACTCCGGGGGAACTGACGCCCTCTTCTGGCCTCCATGGGTACTGCACTCGTGTGCAAACCCAGTCAAACACCCACATACACATATAATTAAAAATAAAATATTCCACTATGCCTTTAGTTCCAGCACTTGGGAGGGAGAGGCAGGCGGATTTCTGTGAGATGGAGGCCAGCCTGCTCTACACAGAGTTCCAGGCCAGCTGGGGCTACATAGACCAAAAAAAAAAAAAATTAAGTGTATATATGTGTGTGTGAAAATACATACACATATATAATTTATATATTAGAAGACAGTTCTTGTCGCCATAGTGATGGTCCCAAGCTGAGTGCTTACCTTAAGGGGTGACCCGGACTTCGTGGCCTCCTTTCCACAGAGATTGGCGGGTGACCAGGTACTGCCAGGATCCAGCTGTTAGCGCCAGCAGGTAGCGGCTTTTGGCTCCCATGGTAACAAGCGAGAACCCTCAACGCATGCGCACTTTCATCTCGTCGGGCTGCCTTCCGGAAGTGGTTGCTTCTGGGTCAGGGCGCAGGCGCAGTCCACACGCGGAGCTGCGCGAGGCTGGGTGAACACCGCGGTCGGGATAGGGGCGCCGAGCTAGGGGAGGCCGTCATGTCCGACAACGAGGACAAGTGAGCGAGGGTGGTGGTGGGCTCTGCGGTGGGGAGACCGGGCTGCGAGCCGGGCGCCAGGGCTTAGGCTAGCCCAGACGCGAGAGTCCAGGTTGGACCACGCCATGGGAACAGTGTAGGAGGCCGTCATGTCCGACAACGAGGACAAGTGAGCGAGGGTGGTGGTGGGCTCTGCGGTGGGGAGACCGGGCTGCGAGCCGGGCGCCAGGGCTTAGGCTAGCCCAGACGCGAGAGTCCAGGTTGGACCACGCCATGGGAACAGTGTAGGAGGAAGGATGCAAGAATGGCTTGGGAGGCCGAGCAGGCGCGGGCTTGGGCCGGGGGTCGTAAAAGACGTGGCTACAAGTGGCTTTGAACCCTGGATAGTATAAAGTTTAGGTTTGTGTAAGCCAGGCTGGTTTGGGACTCACTCTGTAGCCCAGGCTACCCGTGAACTGGCCACAGACCTCCTGCTTCAGCCTCCCCAAGTGCTGGTATTTCAGATCCCAGCCACCAGCCTCGGAAGAATTCTGGATGTATTTTAAAGGCAGAGCCAGAAAATTTTTCTGATGTGTTAGGTCCGAGGAGCATTCCGAGGCCTGATGTGGTGGCACACGCCTCTAATTTCAGCACTTGGGGAGGCAAATCACTGTGAATTCAAGCTAGCCTGGTCTCCGTAGGGAGTTCCAGGATAGCTAGAGCTACATAATGAGACCCTGTTTCAAGAAAGAAGAAAAGTCTGGTAACTAGTGGTCGTGAGGACAGCAGTGTTACCGTGCTCTTTAAAAAATTTTAAATTTAGTTTTTTTCTTCATTTCATACAAGAACATGGAATTAGGGTTGTAGGGGAAGGGAGAAGGAATGGTTTTTTTTAATTGTTTTTTTAAATATTTATATTTTGTATGTATGAATGTATTGTCTGCATGTATGTTAAGTTCACTTTACATGCACATACGTGGCCGTCAAAAGAGGGATACCTGTTAATTGGAGTTGTGGACAGTTAACCACTGTGTGGGTGCTGAGAATCAAACCCAGGTCCTCTGCAAGTGTAGCCAGTGCTCATAAATCCTGAGCCATCTCCCCAGCCCCTGTTCTGTTTTGTTTTTAAATATTTTGCTGTTTGTGTGTGTGTGTGATTCTTTTTTGTTTTCTGTTTTTTTTTGAAACTAGGTTTTACTATGTAGCCCTGGCTGGCCTGGAACTCACTATATAGACCTGCCTCTGCCTTCTGAATATTAAGATTAAAGGTGTGTGCCATACCACCAAGGCCCTTTTGGTGATGGTTTTGAGACCTGGGGATCTCACACATGCTAAATATGCACTCTACCATGAGCTACACCCTCTGCCCTGAGGTACATTTCATTAGTTTTTGTTCTTTGTTTGAAACAGGATCCCACTGTGTAGCCCAGGCTGGCCTTAAACTCCTGATTCTCTTACTCCCACTTCCCAAGTGGTAGGATTACAGGTGCATGCTACCATGCTCGAAAACTATTTCCTTATTTAGAGGTCTCTGTGTATCCCTGGAGCTCACAGAGGTCTGCCATCCTCTGCTAGGATCATAGGCATGCGCTATCACACCCAGTATATTTTTTTCTTAAGATGGGGCCAGAACTACATATTTCAGACTAGAGAGATGACCGAGTGACTGAGTGCTTGCTGCTCTTTCAGAAGATCAGAATTCAGTTCCTAATACCTATGTTGGGCAACTCCAGCCCCAGGGGATCTGATGCCTCTGTGGACTCTATTTGTGTACCTGCATGAGTGTAGAGATACATACTCAGAAATACAATAAATCTTTCTAAAAGGTCTGAAAACCTACACGTTTACATTCTTACTGGTGTAATTCGTAGAGGGAAGTACTCAAATTTGGGGACAGATAGGACCAGATTGAAGGAGTAAAATGAACCAAAGTTGATTCACTCATTGAGATATTTATTAGGTCTCTCGACATCTTAGCTAAGACCAGAGCTCCGTCTCTTTGGTTCTGGTAAGTGATACTTTGACTGACCAGTCCCTTCTTCCTCAGTTTTGATGGAGATGACTTTGACGATGTAGAGGAGGATGAAGGGCTAGATGACTTGGAAAATGCTGAAGAGGTCAGTATCCTGTTTTAGTTTCCTGGACTTGAGCCCAAGTGGTAAATAGTGAGATGGGTGATAGTTACCTAAGTGTTGTCATGGTCCTTTTTCCGTAACGCTGTCTCACCTCCTTGAGGTATTTAAGTGTCACCTCAATGAGGTCTGGGATTGCCACTTATTATAATATATGCTCCATAGAAGAAATAACTTTTATCTGTTTTATTCACTACTCTTATCTCAAGTACTTAGAATACTGTTTGACCTGAAGTAAGCACTTAGTAAACAGTTGATGACAATTATTTTTAAAAATAATGTGCAGGTGTGTGTGTGTGTGTGTGTGTTTGTGTATGTGGTGTGTGTGTGCATGGGTGCACTTATCCCTGTAGATGTATGGAGACCAGAGGTGATTGTCCAGTGTCTCTATCACTTGCCACTTTGATTTTTTTGTCCTTTTTGAGACAGGGTCTCCCCATAGCCGCAGCTGGCCTGGAACTTACTATGTAGACCAGGCTGGCCTGGAACTCAAAAGAGCTCTGCCTGCCTCTGCCTCCCAAGAGCTGGGATCAAAGGCAGGTGCCACCACACCCGGCTGCTATTTGAGACAGGATCTCTCTGAACCTGGAGCTCACTGCTTCACCTAGATCGGCTGGCCAGTGAGCCCGGAACTCCTGTCCTTGTCCCCCAGTGCTGGTGTTACAGGCACACGCCACCTCCACACCTGGTTTTTTATATGAATACTGGGGATCCAAATTCAGGTTCTCACGCTTGCATACAGCTTGTTGTTTTTGAGACAGGGTCTCCCTGAAGCCCCAGCTGGCCTGGAACTCACTATGTAGACCAAGCTGGCCTTGAACTCAGAAATCTACTTCCCAAGTGCTGGAACTAAAGGCGTGCACCACCACACCCCACTCATATAGCAAGAACTTTATCCACTGAGCCATGTTCCCAGCCTTTAATTCTTTATTATGGAATCTTGTTGTCTCCGGTGTGCTGTGTATACAGGTGTGCTGTGTACACCTACTGCTCTTTTTTCTTCAGGTTATGACTTGTTTGAGCTCAGATTATTGTGTTGGGTCTCCACACCTATTGCAATGTCTGGCACAGAATGAATGTTTGTGTGTCTGTGTGCATGTGTGCATGCGTGCGTGGTGCTGGGGATGGAACCCAGGGCCCAGCGTATCCTAGCAAAGCACTCCATTACTGAGCCTCACCTCTAGCCAGAACAAATGCATAAGAAATAGTTGTTTGGTGTGTTGATATGACTCTTCCTCCTTTACCCTGACTTTTCTGGTCACTTCACCCATTAGCTCAGTAATCCTGTCTAAAGGATGGTGTGTTTGTACCTAGCTTCCTGCTCAGGGCATGCTCATCACTTCTTATAGGGCCAGCATTCTAGGGTCACCCCTCCAGGCTTTCTGCTTTCTCTCTCTTGGGGATCAGGCAGCTGCCTCTAGAGTCCTGCTCATAAACCTCTTTATTACCAGGTCTGAGACTTTGGCCAAAATTGCTGGCTCTCTAAGCCCCTGGAATGGGGACTGTAATTCCTGTCTCAGAGGGCTGTGAGGCTTGCATGAGGCTGGCATCCAGTAAGCATTAATGCTGGTGGTGGGTGTCTTTTCTCCTCCTCATCCTCCCTGACCCTGAGATTTCTCCTCTTTGTTTTCTTGGTTTCCAGGAGGGTCAGGAGAACGTTGAGATTCTCCCCTCTGGGGAGCGACCACAGGCCAACCAGAAGCGAATCACTACTCCATATATGACCAAGTATGAGCGAGCACGCGTGCTGGGTACTCGAGCGCTCCAGATCGCGTAAGTGTGTGCCCCTTTGCTGTCCGCTCCTCCAAGCAGGCCATGGTGAGCCCAAGGCTGCCGACCCTGCCCAGCCCCTTCCTGTTCCCACATTCTGAATGAAGGTGCTGTTCGTGTGTGCTAGACATTGTGCTAGATGCTCAGCCTTGGGGAGCCTGTGCTGTAACATAAAAAGTAACTGAGGAATCAAGTAAGTGCACAGGAGAAAAGTAACAATAGAAATAGACCTAGTAGCTGGGTGTGGTGGCGCACGCCTGTAGTCCCAGCACTTGGGAGGCAGAGGCAGGCAGATCTCTGTGAGTTTGAGGCCAGCCTGGCCTATATAGCGAGTTCCAGGCCAGCTGGGGCTACAGAGAGACCCGAAAAACCAAAAAAAAAAAAAAAAAAAAAAAAAAAAATAGACCTACTAGCCTGTAGTCGCAGCCACTTGGGAGGCTGAGTCCAGAGGAACATGAATTCAAGCCCAGCCTGGGCAACTTAGCAAGACCCCACCTCAAAATAAAAAGTGAAAAGAGGGCTGGGATATAACTCAGTAGTAGTGCACTTGCTTGACACATGTAAGGACTTGTATTCAGATAGTTGCTTGTCTGGTTGGTAAAACAAAATGAGAATGAGCTCTGGGAAGGCTTGGTAGCCCTTGAGCTACTGCTGCTGCTTGATGTGAGGGAGACTGTGAGTGGCGCACCCTTCATTGGGGATGCTCAGGAGCAGCAGTGACTTCTGTGGACTTGTGGACAAGCAGCATTTTCTTTTCTTTCTTTTTCTTTGTTGGGGGGTGTGTCTCTCCCTGTGCCACAGCTGGCCTGGGACTCACTATGTAGACCAGGCTGGCCTTGAACTTGCAGAGATCCTCTGCCTCCCCTGTACTGGGACTGAAGGTGTGTGCCACCGCGCCTGGCTGTGAGCAGCCTTTTCTTCTCTCCTGTTTGGAAGACCAGGGTACAAGAAGAGATATAGGTAGGGGGGCCCAGGCCATTCAGTGACTGCTGTCACCTGGCAGGAGGACGGGAGTATCAGTGCAACTCCAGTGGGAGGTCCTCTGTAACGAGACGTGAGGCTGAGGCAAGTGGCCCCTGCTAACTTCTTCCATGCTGTTGTGGAGGATGTGAGTGTCTGGAGGAGGGGTGCTGAGGGAGGGACTTGGTGGGGTTAGGTAGAAGGCTGGAAAGAAAAGGCAGACCAAGGTGAGCATTCATTCTCCCACAGGGCATGTAGAGGCTGAATGCTGGAGAGCAGTGCTGTCTGCACTCCCTCTGGTCCTGCAGGGTAAAAATGACCACCCTGGGGCTGGAGAGATGGCTCAGCAGTTAAGAACACTGGCTGTTCTTGCAGAAGATCCAGGTTCGAATCCCAGCACCCACATGGCAGAACAGCTGTCCGTAACTCCAGTTCCAGGGGATCTGACAGCCTCTTCTGCCCTCCGTGGGCATTGCATGACACGGGCGCACTTACCTACATGCAAGCAATACATGCATACACATAAAATAAAAATAATAAGTAAAATATTAAAAAAGATGACCACCCTGTCTGCTTTATGCATGAGCAAGGCTGTCCTGGGCCACTGCTTACCAATAGATGCTTTATAAGCATGGTTGTATGCTTTGCTCTTTTGAGTAAAATTAGAGCCACCTTCTGGGGTCAGGATTCTCTCAGCCTGCGCTACCAGTCATGGCGGTCACTAGCTCCATGCAGTGATGTCATTTAATTAAATAAAAATTGCTATGCACATTGCAGGTGCTCAGTGGTGTGTGGTTACCACTTTGTGGTTACCACAAAGGATAGCACTGGGACAGGACATTTCCCTCACTGCTGAGCATTCTTAGAGGAACACTCATTTAGGCTAAAAAATGGTCCAGTGGGATGAATACATCCTAAAATCAGATCAAATAAATAGACTGTATGCAAATTAGTGTTCAGCACTGAGGTGCTGTGCTGCACCTGTTGAAGATGCAAAGGTGGTTAAAGATGTAATCATGTGGGGCTGGAGAGATGGTTCAGCAGTTAAGAGCACTGGCTGTTCTTCCTGAGGACCTGGGTTCAGTTCCCAGCACCCACATGGCAGCTAACCACCATCTGTAACTTCAGTTCCAGCAGCTCTCATGCCCTCTCCTGACCTCCATGGGCCTTGCATGACACAAGCACACATACATACATACAGGCAAAACAGTCATACACACAAAATAAAAATAAGTTAATTTAAAAAAAGGATGTAATCCCCAGTTCCCTGGGGATATTGGTTACATTTATGTTGCTATGATAAAATACTGCGACCAAGTGCACCTTATAGAGAGTTTATTTTGGCTTCTGGTTCCAGAGGGAGAGTCCATAATGGCTGGTGAGCAAATGGAGGAAGCTGAGAGATCACATCTCAACCACACAGAAGCAGAGAGCAAACTAGAAGTGGGCCAGGAAATAAACTCTGGAAGCCCCGCTGATGGACTTCCTCCAGCAGGGGTCCGTGTTCTGAAAGTTCCATAACATCCCCAAACAATGCCACTAGCTGGAGACCAAGTATTCCTATACAAGGCCCATGGGGGACATTTCTCATTCAAACTACTACACCAGACATTTTCTGATGGGACAGATGGACCCATCCATGCACAGATGCCTGAACTCAAGGCAGGTGGGGGTAGTGCTTCACAGAGGGTACAGGAAAAGGTGAGGTAGCCTCATGAAGGGTTAGAATACCAGTTGACAGATGAAGAGAGGTGGTTTTCAAGTATCCCAGATGCTGGAAACAGTGAATGTGGAGGCAGGTGGGTGTGGGTTATGGTGAGGAATATCTTACAGCATAATGTCACTATACCTAGAGTGACAGGTCAAGTTGGCATTCATTTGTCTGATAGTGTGGAGCATTTAAAGGTTTTTAGACTGACATCCAGACCACTTTTAAGTCCAGTTTCTCTTGGGGACTGAGGAGGCTCCAGCAGAGTCCAGGCTGTAGCGCCCCTTCCCACTGTGGGATGTGCCAATCTCCTCTTGTGGCCCCCTGTCTGTTGTGCACCCCTGCATGGTCAGGCAGTCCCTGTAGTCCCAGCTGACCTGAACTCACTGTGTAGACCAGGCCGGCCTTGAACTCACAAGGTTCCGCCTGCCTCTGCCTCCGAAGTGCTGAGACTAAAGGCCTGCGCCACCACGCCTGGCTTCAAAAACTGTTCTAAAAAATTACATTTATGCCGGGCACGGTGGTACAGGCCTTTAATACCAGGACTCGAGAGGCAGAGGCAGGCGGATCTCTGTGAGTTCGAGGCCAGCCTGATCTACATAGTGAGTTCTGGGCCAGCTGGGGCTACAGGGAGTCCCTGCCTCAAAAAGACGAAAAAAAAAATTTACATTTATGTAATGGGCTTGTGTGCACACATGTTACCAGTTGGGTGGGTATGGAAGTCAGAATGAACTGTGGGAGTCTGTTCTTCTACCATGTGGGTCCCAGGAACAGAACTCGGGCATCAGGCTTGTCAGCATGCACCCTTAGCTGCAGAGTAACCTCCCTGGCCCCAGGCTGGATGTGCATTGGGTCTGTGGCATTGCACCACCTGGTGGTTGAAGTTTGTCACAACTACTTCCTCCGGACCTGCTGAGCTTCCAAGACCTGGTGCATTCGGGTTAGGTATGAAAGTAGACTGTTCCATGTACTTCCTAACTGGGTGGGTGGTATGCTTACTGGTAGAGGCTGTAGCACAGACCATCACTTAAAGGCCCACACCTGGACTTTGCATATCCCCTGCGCATGGGAGGCTCCAAGAATGAATGTCCCTCTTCTGTCTTGAGAGAAAGAAGGGGTAGGCAGAGCAGGTGGTCACTTTGCCCCATTCATATGTTTTGTTTGTTTTCTTGGTGTTAGGAATTAAACCCAGGGCCTTTCCTGCTTGCTTTAAGTACATGTTCTATCACCGGGCTATACTCCCTGGTCCTGGAGACTTTTTTTTGAGAGAAGATATAGAGAAAAAACATTTTGGAAAATTTCAGGCTTTTGAGGGTAGCAGAAATCAGATTATTGAGTAATGAATTAGTAAGTGTTGGCTCTCACACTGGTTGGTCATCCGAATCACCTGGTTAGCTTCCTAAGTGTAGATTCTCAGGCTCCTTCACCAGAAGATCCAGGACATACATATATATTTTTTTTTGTTGTTGTTGTTGTTGTTTTGTTGTTCTTTTTGAGACAGGGTCTCCTTGTAGCCCCAGCTATCCTGGATTCACTATGGAGACCAAGCTGGCCTTGAACTCACAAAGATCCTCCTGCCTCTGCCCTCCGAGTGCTGGGATTAAAGGTGTGCACCACCACGTCCGGCCCCAGGACCTGTATTTTTAACATGCTGTCTAATAATTCTGTATCAGTGTTGTAAACTCAATCTGAAATAATCAATGGTGGCTTCCTGGAAGAGGTGGGCCTAGAATTGACACCCTCTTGTTTGTCTTGGAGCCTCTACTCTGAACCAAGCATTGTCTGGGACCCCTATGGTGAACCACATGTGGTCCTGACCACCAGGAGCTCATGGTCTGCTGTAGACAGTAGTCCAGTGGTTTTGGTGCCACTAAAAACCAGGCAGCCGGGCGTGGTGGCACACGCCTTTAATCCTAGCACTCGGGAGGCAGAGGCAGGCAGATTGTTGTGAGTTTAAGACCAGCCTGTTCTACACAATGAGTTCAGGTCAGCCAGGACTACAGGGAGACCCTGTCTCAAAAAGACAAAAAAACAAAAATGAAAACATGCATGCAAATTGACTGAGGGCACTGAAGATTGAGTGAGTGATTTCCAGAGTGGAGGGACTTGAGTCTCTCCCAGGCTTATAGGGAGAGGGAACGCTTGTGTGAGAACTCAGAAGAGAAGTGGTGTGGAGGGTCCAGGTGCCTGAGCCTGTTTTCTGTGACATGACAGAACACTGGAGTCCGGATCATTGGCTCAGCTGATTCTGCTCACAATGCTGGAGGCTAGAAGGCAGGAGAACATGGTCCCTGCATCTGATGAGGCCTCATGCTACATTGTAACATGGCAGAGAATGCCACATGGTGTGTTAGCAACCATTGCAAGCATGGGTCTCTCTTCCTCTTCTTATAAAGCCACTAATACTGTCATGGTGCCCCACCCTCCTCATAACCTCCCAAAGGTCCCACTTCTAGTCCCATCATCATGTTAATTTGGAGGCCACTTTCAAACCATAGTGCAGGGGAATATAGTAGTTGGAATGACTTGAGTGGAGACTGGGGCAAGGAGTCAGGCTGGTCTTAAGAGTGGGACCCCTCTGGGGGTGTTGCTGTGATGGAGGAGGAAACAAAGCAGGGTTGGTGTGGTTGGGTTGGAGTGGCGAGAATGAAGGGCCCTTTCTGTCAGCATTAAGTTTAGATACTTTCAGTTTATTGCTTGGGACATGTCATAACAGTGGTTAGGAGCAAATCTTGGTTCTGCCACTTTGCTGTGTGACCTTGGGCACAATACAGACATTTCTCTGCCTCAGTTTCCTCATCAGTAAAATGGAAATCAAAATAGGACTCTCCTCATGAGGCAGTGTATTTGAAGAGCAGACAGCAGTGGTTGGTGCTTAGTGAGTCCCTGTTAATAATCAGTATTTTGTCATGGAGGTCCTTTGTCTTCATTTTCAAATAGGGGTATTGAGATGTGGAGAGAAATTAGTGACTTGTCTTTGGAGGCACAATTTGAATCTAGTCTGCTGGCCTCCCTTTCTGCTCAGTGGGGCAGGTCCCAGTCATGACCCATACATCACTACCACCATGCTTGCCTTCCTAGAAGGTCCCAGTCGTGACCCATACATCACTACCACCATGCTTGCCTTCCTAGAAGGTGACAAGGACAGGATGCCAGTCTCATCCTCACTGTCTACTGAGCCCTCTTCCTGTGTCTCTCCACCCCTGTCCTTGTAGGATGTGTGCCCCTGTGATGGTGGAGCTGGAGGGAGAGACAGACCCTTTGCTCATCGCTATGAAGGAACTCAAGTAAGTCCCCCAGATGCTAGGTAGTTCCTGCAGAGCCCCAGGCATCTCTTGGACTCCCTGGCTGGGGAAATTGGTGCTTGATTCTGTTGATCCTTGGCTCATTCATAGAAAGCCCTACAGAAATGGGGAGTGGGCAGGTCTGGGAGGGTGTTGATGCGACAGACCTCTACCATCTGTTCTCTGCTGCAGAGCTGGGGGTACCTACCAACCCTCAGTCCTGTGACTTCTCCCCAACCACAGGGCCCGAAAGATCCCCATCATCATTCGCCGCTACCTGCCAGATGGGAGCTACGAAGACTGGGGGGTGGACGAGCTCATCATCACCGACTGAGTGGAACTACCCAGACTGCGCCTGGGTGCCCTTTACTTTATACATGTAAATAATAAACTTCACCTTCTTATTAACCCTTGACCTGCAGCTATCTGCAGTGCCACTGCCTGCTGCTTCCTTGTCCCTGTCCTGTGGGGAACAGGCACATAGGAAGTGGCCCTGTGACTGTCAGCTCTTTCCAAAGCACAGGGCCAAGGGCCCCTGGCGATCCCCCTCATCCCTCCCTCTATCTCCCTGTACACCAGAGCAGAGGCTGCTGTAGGGAGACACCTCAGCTGCCTTCCCAGCAGACAGACGAGTCTTTGTGCCCAGGGAGCTGGTTGCCACGGAAACCCCCAATTTCCTTTCCAGTGGGGACTGGCTGCAGGGGCTTCTCCCTTCTCAGGAGTATCACAGAGCAGGTCTCATCAAGCCATCCATTGTTTCCTAAGGACCTGCCTGGAGCTCTTATCGAGGGCTCAGATCCCCTTTCAGGAGTGGTGCCCTAGCAGGAAGTGTGGGGGTGCAGTGATCCCCCACCGTCCCCAGGCAGAGCCCTGTTGGGCAAGTCAGCAGCTGCAGCAAGGACCGAGCACCTGTCCACCCCTGTCCCTACGCTGTCCCAGGCTAATGGCACACCATGGCCCACCTCTGTGGTCTGCCACCTGTGCTCTCTGCTTCTCAGGCCTGAACTGGGATGACGTGCTCCTTGGAACTTTTCTGCCTCAGATGCTTTTCTTCATCCTGCTTCCCAGACCCAAGGAGCACCACTCACATCCTAAGATGGAGAGGCACATTTGGAGCCAGGCACGGTTTCACATGCCTATAATCTCAGTGCTGTTTAGGTAGAAGCAGGAGGATCAGGAGTTCAAAGCTTGTCTCTGCTACATTGTGAATTCAGACTAGCCGGAGCTCCATGAGACATTATCTGAAACTTGTATAGAAAGCCGGTGCCTTTAGTCCCAGCACTCAGGAGGCAGAGGCAGGCGGATCTCTGTGAGTTCAAGGCCAGCCTGGTCTTCCTATCAAGTTCCAGACCAGCTGGGGCTACAGGGAGACCCTGTCTCAAAAAAGACACGCCCCCCCCAACCCAAACTTGTAGAAAAGAAGGTTGCTGTGGACCACAGTACAAACAGAAGGGAAGCTCGGCTTCTGAGTAGTCCAGCCTGACCTGCTTCCCCAGGAACTCCTTCCAGGAGGAGGAGCTGCTGGCCTAACCTCTGCAGGAGGCAGAGCACTCCACATGGGACAGGGCGGGAAGCAGGAGTGGCCACAGGAGTGGGAGGGTGTTTGCTGCTCTGGATAAGGGTTAATTCAGGGAGTGGACTTCGCACCCCTGCCACCCTCCTCCAAGCCTTTGGAATCCTTTAATCAAGTTGGGTGCTGAAATTTCAGCTCTGAAATGCCGCCTTTGTGCTGGCATCTAGGCAGCCGCCCCAGAGTGCGGGGGTCACTTTCTCGGCCCCATTTCTCTAAATGATGCCTTTGTTCCCTGCTGGGCTGCTCAGTATCAGATGTGATTAAAGGGAGATGAGGTTTGGGGGGGTGTTAACCCTTAGGGGAAAGGGTATAAGGAAATGGGAGGAGAGGGGTGCTTTTCCTGTATCTCCCCTTTCCCATTCTCCTCTTGGGGAGGCCTTCATTCAGCTGGCCAGGCCTGGGTTCAACTCTACATCTCAGGTATGGGGTTGTCAGTCACTTCAGAACACCTGACTCCTGTCTTTACTAGTAGAGCTGCCACTGTAACAGAACACACCCGGGGTGTGTGGGATGCACACTTCCTTTGTCCTCCTCTGAGGCTGTTTCCCTGCTCTTGGTGATTTCATGGCCATATGAGGTGGTGGGTCCTGGTTTCAGCTTCTGGAGGAGCCCCTCCCCTGCCTCACCAGCTCCATGTCCAGTCCTTGGAGCAGGAGCAGGGCGGAACGGGAGCAGGGAAAGTGGACACATGTCCTGTTTTTCAGTAAAGGAAAGGGGGAGTGGTAAAAATTCAGAGTTTGGTATGAATGGCTGCTACCTAATGTAATTCTAGAGTCGGTTATTGCGTGTTTGACAGTATTGGCAGAAGACACAGAAAATCCGGGACCAGAAGAGCATTTTTAGGAGTAGGTATTACCAAATCAATTTTTTTAATGGTTTCTGGCCTGGTAGGTCTAGAGAATGCCCCAGGTCAGTTAACGTTGGTTGTACCAAGGCATTTTGGCAGTCTCCTGACACCTGTGATAGGTGAAGGGCATACTCCATGTGATGGTAACGAGCCAGCTCCCTGAGTTGATGAAGGGGGCACTGTATGCCAGGCCCATCCCTTCATCTCAGCCCAATTAATGACTTCAGTGAAGATCTTCAAACTTTAGATGCACATATTTAAACCTCCCTCTGAAGGGGAGCTAGGTCCCAAAATTTAATATAGGTTTGACAATGGGTCAGAGCCAACAGGTAAAGTATGTTAAAGAGCCATAGAAAATCTCACAGTTACCTATAACAGAATACCAAAACCAGCTTATATATGGTTCAGGTGGTCTGATTGCATCAGATATTGTTAGGAAGAGCAAGGGTTTCAGATACCAAGCCTGGAGGGAGCCAGCAGTTTGGGGGAGGTGGCCCCAGCCACATTGGGAAGATAAGATTGGTTCCTAGTGCTCACCCTCCTGGGAGGCCTGATGAGGCAGTAGGAGGCTGCAGACCACAGTTGGAAGTAGAGGACAGTAGGGTACAAGCTGTCAGAGGTGGGCATCAGCATTTCTTAGGTTCAACCTTAAGTCTCTCCCTGTAAAACAGCACTGAAATAAGGATGGGACCCAGTCCCTCACAGGCCTAATGACAACATCTGGCAAAGTCAACAGCCAGGGCTTACAGTAACTGGTGGTGGTTTTAGTCACTGTGGGAGCTTGTAGACATTGGAGCTACCTGTCACTAGGGCAAGTTGGTAGAGATTTTCCCTGACCTTAGGGCTATGAGCTTGTGCCGTGGTATAGGTCATGGTCCCAGTGGAGGACAGAGCTCTCGAGAACACTGGAGGGTGGTGCTGCTTGTCCGACATCCTTGGCTTAGACTCAGATACAGGCTGCTGCTGTGATGGCTCAGATTCCAGTATGGGCTGGTTGTGTGTGTGTTGTGTGTGTGTGTGCTGAGCAGGTGTGGCAGGTGGAAGAGTGCAGCTCACACATTTATCCATCCTGAGGGACAGCCTGACTGCTGACCTCAGGAGTGAGACTAGCCACCTGCTTCTTTTCAAGTAGCTGTCCCTGAATTCCTGGCAGACTCCTCCTCTCTGCTGCATAAGCAGAGACTACAGTGTGTGGAGGGAAAGGCAGTGAGCCCCAGCTGGACCTGGGAAGAGTGTGGGGCTCCCCTCTGAGGTCCTGACCCCCTCCACCATCCCTATGTCCTAAAGGGGAGACAGATCCTTAGATCCTCTCTCTTTTGCCCTCTCCTGGCTGCTTCCACAAAGCCTCTGAAGAAGCACAAGAATAGGGTAAGAGACCAAGAGACAGGCCAGGTCAAGCCCACCACAGGTAACCGGAAGCGTTCATTTTATTACTTGGAATGCGTAATGCAGAGTTAATAGGGGCTGGAATAGCTAGGAGATGGGAAGGAGTGTGGGGACTACTGAGATAAATAAAGGGGACAGCATGCGTTACATGTGGACTGTTTGCTGCAGGACAGAAGATGGGGCAGACAGAGCTACGTACTTTATTCGGGTATCACTGAAGGCAAGGGACAAAAGGCAAGGGTAGAATGTACACGGCAGGGTTTTAGTGTCCAGCCTGCTGCCAGCAGCCTGGTGCTAGGCTCTGGGTTTCCCGGAGCTGAGGGCTGGGGCCCGCGCAGTGCTAACTTTCTGAGCCCAGGGATGTGGGGCTGACAGGACAGGAAAGGAAGCCATTGGCCAGGAGCCCAGGGAGGAAGGCCCAGTGAATTCCCTCTGACTCCTTCCCTGGAGCCCCTGCCTCCTTATTTGGGGTGGACCTCGAGGTGTAGGAGGTAGTGGGGATGGACATGTGGGGGGCTCTCCTCAATTAGGAGGGATGAGATTATTGACAGAATTGGATCTCAGGACCTCTGCCAGTTCCTTCCTGCGTTCAGGTGAGGAGGGAGCATTGAAAGGATCAGAGCTCCCATTGAGTCCCTCACCCTAATCCGTACAAAGCTGTTCAAAGCTGTCCTCAGTGAATCCTGAGTGACAGGACAGAGCCAGCTCCAGGCTTTGATGCAGGTCCCTGGGTGGCCTAGCTCCTAGGCACTGTGACATGGTGGCACAGGGGCCTGTGAACCCCTTACCCACCAAGGAGGAAACAGAAGTGGCAAGGCCTCTGATGCCCATCCAGCCCTCATGCTTTCTCCCTCCCTCTCCATCCCTGAGGGGATGAGCAGGCCTTCTCAGGTCCTGGGAAAGAGGGTCATTTCTGGGGGATGGGTGGCCCCTCACCCTCAGTCTAGGGCCAGCCATCAACCTCCTTCTCCTCTGCCCAGCTGGCAGCCAGGGTCGGGCCGCTAGAGCCGGAGTGGGTGGTGGGTCATCAGGGCAGTAGCTTTCCCGTTGCGGTTAGCCTCTGAAGCCTCCTCCACTGTCACTGCCAGGCCTGAGACTGGTGAGGAGCAGGGCACACAGGCTGGGGGAAGGGGCCCAGGTGGGGGCTGGTGTGACAGGGCCCCCTTTAAGGTCGGGACAGCGTCGTATATACCGGCTGTTCCCAGTGTGTAGGGCTGTGGGACTGCGGCCCTGAGGGGCTGGGGTCAGAGATGGCTGTATAGAGGGGCCGCTGAGAAGGCCCCATGTAGGAGAAGGCCGAGTACAGGCCTGAGGCCTGGCCAGAATGGCCGTAATAGGGTCCTGAGGGCTGATGGTCAGAGTAGTCAAACTGGGGGCGGGAGATGGAGGGGAAGGCGGAGCCGTAGTGGGGCAGACTGAGAGAGGTGTAGGCAATCTGGGAAGTGGACGGCTGGTCTGTGTAGTGTGGGGGCCCCTGGGGGCCTGCGGTCTCTGTCTTCACCTGGGCTTTGGCATCCACACCAGGGGGTGAGACCGTGGGCAGAGCCACGCCTGGCGGCTTGGAGATCCAGGCAGAGTGTCCACTGGCCACAGCCAGGGCACTGCCCAACCCGTAGCTAGCTGCTGAGTAGCTACCCACGTGGCCTGGGTGCCCGTTGGGTGGCAGGTATTGGTCCAACTCAGCCACATCAAAGGTCTCCATGTTGGACATTACCTCGTGGCTGATCTCACCGATGTCCACATTGCCGAAGTCGATGTGAGGCTTCCCGCCCTCCCCCAGGGAGCGCCCATCCCTCTTGGGGTCTGCCTTGCTGGACTGTAGCTCTGTCTTTGGGGTGGTTGGAGGGGTGGGAGGGCCATGGCTCTGGCCTGGGTGGAAGAGACACAGAGAAAAAAAGAGTAAGAGAGGGCAAGTTAGAGGCAAGTGGGTCCCAGAGGGCCACCTTCAGGCAGCAGGATGCTGACATCTTACCTGCCAAGCTTGTAAACGTTACCTGTTTTGTCAGCATGCCTTGGGATGGTCTCTAGTTGTTGATAAAATTCTTGACTCTCAGGAGTCGGTCCCCTTCCACCCTGTAACCTACCTTGAGAGGCGTGCTTTACTTTGAAGAGCATTTCCTGTTACAGGTGCTTTGCATGGGCTGAAGCCAGTTTCTGTCATACTGTCCTCTTTGCCCCTGTTGTCCCTAACTGCAGACCCTGCTGTCATCTGGCCCATGGTCCTGTGCCCTTGCCTGGTCTTTAGGTTACTGTTGACCATCCTACCTGTTGAGCCCCATCTGCCCTGTCCATACTGGATTGTATCTCTCATCATGGTTGGCTCATGTGGTCATGTGCTCCCTGCCCAGGTCCCCAGACAGTGCTGTATTCCCTCCAATGGTACTCTGAGCCTGCCTACTCCCTGCCCTGTTGGTCCTTGCTCAGGGGGGACACTTAGATCACTGGCTTCTGTTTCTTTGTCTGTTAACTTTCTCATCCATACATGTCAGTGAATGCTCAGGGCGCTGCTGAGTGTCAGGCAGTGTGGTGGATGCTGGGAAGATAACTGGAAATAAAATTAAGCCCTATCTCTAAAAGCTCATTGCCTATGAGAGGCCCACAAGAGCCTAGGGCAGGCAAAGGACTGAGGAGATGAGAGAAGGAGGCCACCTGCTGCCCTGGGGATTTGGGAAAGTATCATTAAGTGTGTCTGAATGTCTGAGGGGTGACTGGATGAGCATCCCATCAGAGAGAAACATGTCATGGTCTCACAAGGCCAGGAGCTGTTTGAGGTCAGACTGTGCCTCCACATTAGACTAAGAAGCAGTGGCCAAGGGCTGTAGACTTTAGGAGACCTTTCTGGGCTTGAATCCTGGTTCTGTCACTTACTGCATGACCCTGGATAAATCCCCAATCTTCTCTTAAGCACTTTGCTTATCGGTAAAGCAGAGATGAGAACAGGGAGCCCAGAATCTGCATCCTTGGGGAGCTCTCCTTGGTTTAGTCTGGTGAAGAGTTGGCTGTTTCTTAGAGACCCTGCTGCCTGGCTGGATGCTGCCACCTCTGGAACTCAGAGAATTCTTATCTATTAATTTCTTCCTATATGTCAATCACTTGTTTCCATCCCAGTTCCTGCCTCTGGATTGCAGACTCCTGAGCCGGGGACCATAGCTTCTCTTGATGGTAAACCTGGTGTCCCTTCCAGTGCCTGATACAAAGTAGGACTCAGCTTGTCTTCTGATGGTAGAGTTCTCTGCCCACTGAACACTTCCGGTGTGCCAGATTGGCATTCTATTCATGAGGAGCACAAGTGAGGCAGCCATGGGCCAACCACAGGCCCTGGAATCCAACAGACCTCAGCTGTGGGGCAAGCTCCTTTGTGGGGAAACTTCTGTCTCCTCCTCTATGAAACGATGACCTGCTACCCACAGACCTGAGCCCAGGCAGCTGAGCACCCAGCACATCACTTAGGGCTGACTGGTTGGTTGATGGAGGGAGTTAGTACACATAAGACAATCAGCTGTGCCTGGCACACTGTGGGTGTCAGCTTATTATCATTACTGAGAATTAAACAGGAATGGGCCATGTCTGGCCTATCCTTGGCATGTGCTCAACTTTGCTCCTGAGCAGGAGCTGGGAAGAGGCATGATTTCCTCTCCCTCATTTGATCTCTCCTTTTTCAAAAGCACTCTCTGTTCTTTCCCTGTAGCTGTTGCAGCCTCTTCTTACCCCATGCCCTTCATGGCTCCCTGGAGGGCAAGCCCAGCACTAGTGGCCCTCCATTAGCCCTAGGAACCTTGTCCACCCACCACCAGAGTCACCACTGAACTGCACTCCAGCTGGGACAACTGTAACCCTGCCTAGCCAGCCCTTCCCAGAGCAGAGCTCAGACTAGGGAGTTCTCCATTGTCTGGCTCCTCCCAGACCCTCTGTAGCTCTGCCATCAGCACTCACCTGAGGGGTGCTCCGGGTTCCCGTCTGACATGGGGGAGCCTTCTTCTGGGTGCCGGTGGTCCAGGTGGGCGCTCTTGTAGTGGGCCTGGATGGCAGCAGCCCCTCCTTGCTCAGGCTCTGCTCCGGGACACTCTGCCTCCCCTTGGGCTGCCTTCCCATTCTTCCGCCTGCGGGGTTGGTACTTGTAGTCGGGATGGTCTTTCTTGTGTTGCATCCGGAGCCGCTCAGCCTCTTCAATGAAGGGGCGCTTGTCACTCTCATTCAGCAGCCTGAGGTGGGGGACACCAGAAGCAGCATGAGTACTAGAATGCCCAGGGCTGGCTTCCCTTTGAGTAGTGTTCCTAAGATGGGGAACCCAGAGGACAGGGCTAGGGTAGGGCTGTGCCCTGTGGTTAGTGCCCAGAAGATGCCAGACCAAGGAGCAATAGCCTGAGAGGGCTATGATCTCTACCCCCAAATCTTTCAGGAGCTGGAGGGCACCAGGGGCCAGCCCCAGAAGACAGGGTCAGAGGTAGGAAGAGTTTACAAGGAGCAGGTGTCAGTTCAAGGACAGGAAACTGTTCCTGTCACCAAGGCTGTCTTCAAGTAGAACTGGCTGCTTCATTAAGGGGTGAGCTTTCTAGAACTGGGAGTATGCACAGAAGCAGCAGAGCTGGGGAAAGAGCCCAGTCTCCGCTACTTACTAGTTGTGTGTGAGACCTTGAGCAAGTTGCTTCTCTGAGCCTGAGTTTCTTCACCTATAAAATGACTGGAGCGTGGAGTCACCAGAAATAAAATATGTGAAGTGTCTTGTATTTGAGCCTGTAGAGGGAGGAACTTTGAGAAAACAGGCGCTACTCTAATGGAGTGTGGTGAGGGGTGGCTCCTCAGCTCTAGAAAACTGATTTGGTGAATTCCAGTGTGGTGGGCCTGAGGGTGCCAGTGTGACCCCCCCTTCTACAGGGGGGTGCTGTCTCCTGTATCTACATGGGAGCAACAAAGGGTAGAGGAAGCTGGAGTCCCTTTCCAGACCTTGGGACAGGCTGCAGTCAGCTCATGGCAGTGCCCCCAACTCACCTGACTGCAGTTTCAGGTCAAGGGTGGAGGGGGGAGGTGCACCAGGGTTTGGCTACCCCAGGGGGAGGAAGGCAGGATGGGGTGCCCCCCCATAGACTCCCAAACACAGGGACTGAGTCTGCCAGCCCACTTCAAGAGTCTCTCCAGCCTTCCTGTCCACTCACCCAGTGGGTGCCCTCTTCTCCTAGGCAGCAGAAGGCCAAGCCCCCTCCCCGGGCTGGTCATGCCAGGCACTTCCTGGCCGGTACCAGCAGCATTCTACAGCTTAGCCTGGTCAGCCCTGTGACCTCCCAGTGTTCCCCAAGGGACCCTCTAGCTGAGCCAACTCCGTCAGGGCCACTGCAGACTTTCAAGACCCTGAGGCCAGGCCTGGAACTAGGGGGTAGAATGCCAGCACTTTCCTGGAAAGAACCACACAGTGGGGCAGTAGGGCTCAGCCAGCCTGGGCCCAGCACAGAGGCTTCTGGGGTGACAGGTGACACTGAACACACTGTTTCCCCCACCCTTCCCAGTGCAGCTGGCAACCCCAAAATCAGCAAGAAAATGGCAGGGAATATAGAAGGGGCCACACAGGCCGGAAAAGTGGGACGATCCCAACACTGGATTCCATCATCAACTGCCAAGCTAGTTCTTAGCAGCATCATAACTAACCCTGAAAGAAACCTAACGGGGGCGCTGCGGTCCCACCCCTAATCTCAGCTCCAGGTCCATGCCAGTTCTGCACACGGCTCCACACTCCACCTACCCCATCCTCACAGCTAACCTTGCCTCCTGCTCTAGTCCTCACAGACCCTGCTGCTCTTGCCCAGCATTGCCCCCCAGCTCAGTTCTTTTACTTAACCTTCTTTCCACCTGCCTCCAGGCTTGGAATGGGTAGGAGAGGAAAGGAGGCTGGTCCTCCGTCCAGTAGGGGGTCTCCCTGTAGGGGCACTGACTGCTGCTGCATGTGTCCTTCTGTCAGGCCAACAGCGTAAGATGACCACCTGGGCGAGGGGCATGCATGACTGGGGGCAGGAGAGGCCAGGTGAGCCCCTCCATGGGAGAAGCTCCAGCCTCCACCTGGTTCCCACTTTCCTGGCTCTGACCATTCTTTCTACACAGGTGCTGAACACCCTGTGGGATCAGCATCTAATGGTCCCTCTCCAGAAGGCATCCATGGTTGAGTGTGCCCACAGCTCACACAGCCACCTAGGACCTGTGCTCAAGAGCAGTCGACCCCAAACTCATGCTCAGCTGCCTGTTTTAGATCTGTTTTCCAGATCTTTCTCCCCAACCATCTACTTTCCTGATGTCCCTAAGTTGTGAGTTTGGGAGGAGTATATTCAGAAGCTCAGTGAGCAACTGGCTACCCTAGCCCACATCCCAGAGTCCCTGAAGAACCCCATCCAGAGCCTAGGCAGCTTCCACCTGTTAGCATAGGCTTGTATGCTTCCCATTTTCCTACCACCTCCCACCCCTGGGGCTGGATCCTCAGCCAACAGCCCTCTCCTGCCTGCCCTGCCCCAGGTGAACTACTGTGAGCACAGCCTGTGTGGTGACCAGGAGCAAGTTCTCCTGAGGGGGCCAACTCAAGGGATCTGAAGTGGGAGCTGGGACAGGCACAATGGAGGGACCCCTAAACTCTTGGCAATGGAGTGTGGTGGAGAGTGTGTGTGGGGGGGTCTGTCTCTCGTTGCTCAGTCTGCCTGTGTCTCACTCCTGGCTGTCAAGATCACTTGTTCTTTGTCCTATGGCTCCAAAGGCACTGGCTTTGGCTGAGGCCCACCAAGGTCTAGCTGGACCTTGGGCAGAGCAGCTAGCTGCCACTGCCATTCTTGAGCAGAGCTCAGGGCCCATAGCAGCTGGTCATTGGGTCATGGCCTGGTCAGAGCTAAGGCCTGAGAGGGCTGGGGGAGGTGCACCAGGCTTTCAGCAAGCACATGGCAAGTGCAGGCCAGGGGACCATAGGCAAATGGCTCAGTTCTTAGGGATCCTCCTGCTCCTTCTACTTTGTCTTTGGTCTTCATAGTGCCCAGCAAAGGGGAAGGCAATGGTTCTTCTGACAGACCCCAGACTTCCTCAAGCTCAGAGTGCCCTACTGTCCTCTTCTCTGCCCATGCTCACCATCTCCAGACCACTTCAGAGTAAAGGTTGACCTACCACTGTCACCAGGAACAATGTGGGGATAACCTCCGATAAGTTAAGTGACTGGGTCTCTGGCCCTGGTTCGGCCACCAACTGCTATGTGACCTAGACAGTGCCTGTCTCTTGGCCAGTCTAATGGGGATCAGGTGACCTTTGCAGTCTGGTATCTGTTAGAGTCCCTGTTCTCTTTGGGAGCTGCCCAGGGTGCCCGTGGGTGGGTAGGGGTGGGTACTCCACACATCTGCAATCAGCCAGGTGAGCCCCAGAGTCAAGGGTTGCAAACTTGATCCCTGAGAAAATGTTATTCCAGAGGTCTGAGCTGGGCCTAGGCAGTCTAGGATTTCGAGGGACCCTGGATAGGAAGTGGGTCAGGCTTCTTCCTGGCCAGAGTGCTCAACTCCAGTTCCTGAGCTTAGGGAAGAGGTTGCTCAACCATTGGGTGGAGCCCAGGGAGGGAAGATGGCGCCAAAGCTGGAGAAGGTGGAACGGAAAGAGAGAAAGAGCTAGAGGCTAGGTTGGTGACTCTGGGACGCAGTTGGCAGGGAAGGCCTCGTTGTGTGACCTCCCTTGGTAATAAAGAAGCCCTCATCCCAGAGGCTGGGGTCAGGAAGGACCCCTGGGACAGCTGGGACAGAAAAGCCTGCTGCCGCAGCAGTTCACCCTCAACTTTCCAGGACCGCCCGCTGGATTCCTTGTTTTTCTTGAACCTCCCCCCAGTTCTCCATCTGGCTGGTTCAGTTTCCCAGCATCTTTAGCTAGATCTTCGGTTCCCTCTCAAAGTTCCCCTAACACCCTCTTGGCCACCGGAACCGGTGGCGGTGGCACCCTAAGTGTGTGTGAATGTGGGATTGCGTGGAGGTCAGTGGAGCCTCTGGTGTGGCGCAGTCCACCCTCGCGCCTTCCCTGCCCACCACCGACAGGATTCCAACCACGAGGGGGCGCCTTCCCGCCCACCGCCCCAGGATGGGAAGGCCTAGCCTAGGTCGTTGGGGTTCTGAGTTCCAGGGTGGGTAGCCAGCGGAGCCCCACGAGGGCCCTTTGGGCAGGCATCGCTCCCAAACTTGATTTCCCAAGGTGGTGGCGGCTGCCGGTGGCAGAAGGGCCTAGGCGAGTCCACTGGGGACCTCAGGCTAGCCCTGAAGCTGCAGAGCTGAGGCCTGCGGAGCTTGGGGCCGGGCAGGGGCTCACCTCCAGAGCTTGCCCAGAGTCTTGCTGAGCTCCGCGTTGTGCAGGTGCGGGTACTGGTCCGCCAGCTTCCTGCGCGCCGCCTGCGCCCACACCATGAAGGCGTTCATGGGCCGCTTGACGTGCGGCTTGCTCTTGCTGGCGCCGTTGACGCGCACGGGCATGGGCACCAGCGTCCAGTCGTAGCCACTGAGCACCTGGCTGACCGCCTCGCGGATGCACACTGGGAACTTGTCATCGTCCGCCTCGCCATCCTGCTGTTCCTTCTTGACCTTGCCCAGCTCGCCGGGCCCGGGGCTGGCTCGCAGGCCCGAGCCTCCGCCGCCGCCGTCGGGTCCCAGCGAGGGCGCGCTGCCTGGGGACAGGCAGCGGGGCTCCTCTGAGCCCACGGGGCTCAGCTCCACCTCCGACAGGTCCTGCTCCTCCGCCATGTCGCCCCCGCCCGCCGCCGCCTCGGCCGTCTCCCCCGGGCCGGTCGCCGGGGTCCTCGGGAAGAGCCCAACGCCCACCTGGACGGAAAGAAGGGCGCGATGGAGCGGCTGGGTGCGCGGCCGGCGGGACGTGGGTGCAGCCCCGAGGGAGCGGCCCTCCCTGCCCCCAGACCCACTCGGGCCCTGTCCCGCACACATGCCAGACCCTACTTAGGTGGGTGCGTCCCGCCTCCACGTCTTCCCACCCCCTGGTCCCAACCGTCTCTTGGTGTGGATGTTTTTTATTTTTTTATTTCTTTCCTTTTTTCTTAAACCTTTTTTTGGGTGGAGGTTTGTTGATGGAGAGGAAGAAAAACGGACCCTTTATTCTGCTCTAATCCCGGCCCCTGGAATTTCCCACCTTTTCTCTCACCTCTCCTTTCCCTCTGTCTGCCCCTACTGCAGTCTAGGGGAGCTAGGTGGGGGGACGGGTGCCTGCCTGCACGGTGTCAGCCTCTCCTATCCTACAGAAGGGGCCCAGGCCGGGCAGTCAGTCGGGGTAGCAGGCTGCGCACTCACCTCTTCCGACCTCTCCTCCAGTCTGGGGCTCGTCCTGAGGAAGTGGAAAACGGTGTCCCAAGATGTGCGGTCCAGCTCGGGGCTGGGGGGTGACGCTGATGGGCTGAGAGGGAGGGGCTGGGGGGCCCTGAGCTTCAGGCCACAGCCTCGTTGGGACGGAGCCTGAATCCTCACCACCAACCACCCTGGCTGGACAGCCTGAGACTGACTGAACGACTGAGCCGCTGCAGACGGCTGGGGAAGGAAGGAGGGGGAGGGGAGGGGGAAAGGAGGGAGGGAAGGGCAGAAGGTGGAGCCTCTAGCGAAGCCTTCACCCCCAACACCCAGGGCTCCTCCACTCCGCCCAGCCACCACCCCCCAAGCCCTGAGCCCGCACTGCTGCTGCCCAGGCCCATCTCCCTGGGTTTGGGTGGCAGGCATAGGCTTGGGGCCAGTTTAGGCCTGGAAAGGAGGGGATGCAGGCAGAAGGCCAGAACCTGTTACCTGGAGGAAAATGGGGCCCACCTGGGACCCTGGACCTTTGTCTCAAGTGGTGGCATGGGCAGTTGATAAAGGACTGGAGATGTGAGGAGAGTGGGTGACGTGGAAGGGTGGCAGCTTGTGTTTCATTTAAGAAACTCTACAGGATCCTACTGTGTGCCAGGCATTGCTGTCAGCTGGGTCTTACCCTGTCCCCCTCTTTTGGTCCTCTCTGGCTCTGCCTGTACAGCAGGAGGTCCTGACAAGGAGGGCAGCTGGACACCCCTTGCCCAGTACACATGCTCAACCCCTGGTCCTTTCTCCAGATACTAGCATCCAGAAGGCTGGACTAGCCAGGATAGACACAGGAGGCTGAGGTTGGATGGGAATGTTCTTCAAGAAGGATCAGGAGGACTTTGGGGTCTTCTATGCTAGGCTCCTCCTCTCCTGGGAGAGGGAGAGGGTAGAGGAGTCCCAGCCCTGGGGGTCATGAAGTTCTTCACCTCTACCCCCCAACTCCAAGAAGGGATAGTTACTGGCCTGGCTCTGGATCCCCTCTTTTCTGATCCCCACTCCTACCCTTTGTTCTCTGTCACCCTAGGACCACTTTCCTTCTCCCCTTTCCTAGGTCTCCCCTCAAAGGGACAGGCCACAGTCCCTTTCTCTTCTTAGTGAAGGCAGCCTGGTTAGCTAGGCAGAACCTGGGTATCCATGGAGGGACAGATAGAGGAGCCAGGGCCATACCAGTGACTGTATATGGTTCCCTGTCCCTCCGTGAAAGGGGCAAGATCCCAGGTACTGTCTGGAGTGGGGCTGGAACAGGTCTAGAGAAGCAAGGCCTCATGCTTGTGAAGGCCCTGGGGTGGGTAATGGGACACAATGAGGTAGTCACATAAGGCAAAGGCATGTTGGGGGGGTGGCGGACATTGG